CCTGGCACACTGGAAAAGTTCAAAAAAGAATTGAGCAAGTAAAGTATCTGGCCAATGTCTTCTGGAAGGCTCTGTTAGTGATGTGCCACGTGTCTGTCCTGTGCCTGTGCAGGTCCACTCTCCTTCTCTGTCTGTTCTCTGCCCCAAGAGGCTGACCTGCACAGGCCACATAGAGGAACACCCTGTCACTCCATCTGTCATTCGTGTTTGACCAACCGGAAGTGTCAGCAGGAGGTCAGAGCTTAGGAAATACATGGAGATGGTCTGTGAATCTCACCTCAAGTCCCTGGGAAATCCACACAGCTCCATTCTCACTGCTCACTGCATGCTGTGGTGTCTGCTAATGGCCGAACATCAGCCTACAGAAGTCCATACTGGCCCTCAGAGTCTAGCAATGGACATTACAGATTTTACCAAATGAAGCAAAAATTTCAAGCCCTGTGCTGGGTAGAAGGGAAAATACAAAACTAACTTAGACAGATGTCTTCAAGACGAGACAAACAGAGCACACACAGGCAGTTGTTACACACAAAGATTTTGCTGCATATTCCAAGAGCCAGGGTACTTGAGACCAGGAACAGGGAGCTCTCTAAAAGAGGGGACACTCCGGTTGTGTCCTGAAGGGTGGGTGAGAGTTTGGACAGCAGCTGTGGAGTGGCAAGAGAGTCTGGGATGAGGAAACAGTGGATACAACTTCAAAGGCCAGGCTGTAGAGAGCCTTGGCACCAACATATTGATCTATGACTAACTCAGAAGGCAGTGGGGTGCTACTGAGCAGAAAAGTATGATCATTGTAGCCATTGATTGGTTTTGACTTCCTACCCCTGGGCCTCTTATAAGAACTTGGTCAAGCGGTAAAGTACAACCTAGGTACCAGCCCAGAGCCTGGGTGGGAAAGGTGAAATTCCAGGCTTGGTAGTGGGGACGGGGGTGGGGAAGGACACCCCTCTGCCACAAAGACCCAGGGCTTGGGAGAGGCCAGAGTCAGGAAAGTACTCACCTGGAAGCATTGTTCAACATGCTTAGAGTACTTACATAAAACATAAAGGTCTGTAAGGGCTGATCATCTAGACATCTTGGCTAGTTACCCTTAATCATCTGTCTGGCTTTGTGACCTTGCGTTCCACCCGTCAGAGAGACAAGCATGCCCATTTCTGGGGTGTATTAAAGGGGGAAAGTGTTCCTGAAATGAGAAGAAGTTCTGTTGTGTGTACACAGCAGGCCCCGTGAGCCTTCCTTCCTAAAGCAGGACCCCCAGGGGCCTGGCTCAGTGCTGATTTTTCAGGTGACCCACTAAGCAAGTCCCTGCCCTGGAGAAGGAGGCTTTTCAGTGATGTCATCGTAGTGGAGTAAGGGTGGGTCCCACCTGCTCCCCCATGGATGTGCAGAGGGAGGCTGGCTAGGCAGGGCAGGCCTCTGGCCGACCCCCCCCCCCAGGGAGCCAGGCCCACTTTGAACACCAGGCCTCAGGGACGCTGGCCTGCTAGGGGGCTGTGTGTCTCATAAGGGCATGGACTGGTTTAAAACCGAGCTTCAAGTCCCAGCTCTGCCACTTACCAATTGTGTGCCTGGGGACAAAAACATTTCTGTGCTTCTGTTTGCTTGTTTGTGAGTGGAAGTGGGGTGGGATGGAGCTAAAATTTAAGTAAAGTACTGCAATAATAAGAGCCTCTGGTGGCCTAGTGGGTAAGGAGTTGCAGTGCCAACACAAAGACAGTTAGTTTGAGTTTACCAGCTTCTCCTTGGGAGAAAGGTGGGCATTCTTTTCCGGTCTGATTTAAGCCTCTGAAAACCCACTGAAGGGTCAGCTATGAGTCAATTCCAACTGAATGGCACATAACAATGAAGATGGAATAGTGTAGAATTAAGCAATTAATACAAGTTAGTACCTTAATACGTATTGTTTAGATGTGAATGCAGATGCAGCCATGGACAATAGAGGTGTAAGACAGAGAGGTAAATACCTTCATCATCCATCTGCCTTTATGTCCAGGACTAGGTCTTGGACTCAGGAGCCCCTGACCCTGTCCTCAGGGAGCCCCCAGCTTGTGGAGCAGAATCACCTCAGAAGACAGCTGCCGTGCTGGGCCCTCAGGCGTAGCTGAGCAGGCAGAGCCCACCCTGGCCACATCTTGGGACTCAGGGCTTCCTACAGGGATGGAGGGGAAGAGCAACCCCAGCACAGGAAGCAGGTAGATGAGGGTCCAGCAGGAGTTCTGGACCAGCAGCAGAGCTGGAAAGGTAGAAATGTCAAACCTACAGCTGGGCTGCGAGGAAGGGAGGTGGGATTGTTTCCTGAGACCCCACTACACCCTCATGCCAGACTGTGGAGTGAGCACATCTGCTTCCTGGACTCCTGGGTGAGGCCCTGTGTCCATACAGGCTGCCCAGCCCTGGCAGGCCACCAAATTCACTTTTCATCTTTTTATTATTCTGCTTCATGCATTTGAGAAATAAAAGCCTTCCCTCTCCTCTTCACTGGTCATACATATTTCATACGGTCATTAGACGGTGGCACTAGAGGACTTACAAATCTCCCCTGGCCATCGTCACGGCCTGGGCGGGCAATGAGAGGCCCTGGGGGACAGGGCCACTCTGGGACCAATTTAGGGGGGATGTCATGGTGGGATGGAGGCATGCAGCTGCCTAGAGAGAGAATACAGCCCCATTGTGTCCCCCGAAGGTTCATTAGCTCATCTCTTTGGGACTCAGCAGCTTCAAGCCTCACACTATAGGGGACTGGGTGAGGGGTCCTCAGGGGTCTTTCCTTTCCTCACTGTCCAAGTGCAGTTCTGAAGGATACCCCTGTGTGAAGGGCTTGGCAATGTGACCTTATCCACTGGGCTGCCAGAGCCCCTTAATAATGTCATACTTGACAATTATTATTTATCAATAGAATAAAAGGACACTTAGAATTGGGATGTGTCCCTAGAAGGTGGATCACTATTAGAAGTGTTGGCATCCTCTCCGGGACTAACCCAGACACGAAGCCTTGTTAAGTTCACTCTTAGTCCTGAGAGAAAGCAACACATGGAGGTTAAGAGTGTGGCCTCTAGGGCAATACAACACAGACTCAGATCCCAGTGTTGCCTCTTTTAACATCTGGGAAGACGTGGGGGTGTTATTTACCCACTCTGGACTCACCATCCCTGACACATGCGTGCCCATTGCTGCAGTGGGGAGGTTGTGGGCCCCAATTGCACATGGCTAATGATGACAGTTGTACCTATTTTCTAGGACTGTTAATTGCATGAAATGAGTAACACTCATGGTGCCAGTAGACAGTTACTATTGATGTCCTCGGAGGAAGCTCAGAGTGGGGTGTGAGAGTCCCTCAGAGCCGGCCCAGGGAGGCCCAGGGAGATCAGCACATTCTTTTTTATTTACTCAGCTTGTGTCTTCAATCCTGATGCCCTCAGAGCCAGGTGGGGTGGTGGAGGGGACCAAGCACCACGCAGTCTGCAGGAGTGTCAGCTGTGGCACAGAGTGGCAATCAGGCATGAGCAGCGTCCTCTAAAACCAGGCCGTTTAGAGCCCCTGGAAATGGCATCTCTCTGTACAGCTGAGTTTTCTAGATAACCACCAGCTTAATCATTTGAATATCAACATTTATTTCATTTCATTCATTTGGGTGGAAATGTATTATTCACCTTTCCACCTTCCTGAACTGAATACACTGGACATAAATTAGCATTTTCATGAAAATTCAGGTTTATTATTATGAACATAGAATTTAATAGAGTTCATAGAATCTAGAAGCTTTAAAAGGGACCTCGGAAAATATTTAGTACAAAGCTTTTAAAATATATTTTTTAGCAGGAGAACCTTTATTCAGTTACGATGTCATAGAGAAGTGTGGTGCATAAAATGTGTGTAAGTGGACACCAAGGTCAGTCCAAGGGCAATCCTGGCTTTACCAGTCACAGCACTGCTTCCTCAGCTCCAGGGCAGGAGCAGAGGTCTCATCTAGGACATAAGAACCTAGTATGTGCTTAATAAATAGTTATTGAGTGAATGGATTGATGGCTGGCTGGTGGTAATTAGCCTGTCCTGTGAATTATAGTCACGGACGGTTCCCTGCATAGGCTAGTGGGCCCAGCCACTAACATTAAACCCGCTAGAAAATACCATTGTCTTGGAGACAGGCAGAGAGGGGAGTGGGTAGTTCTCATCTGAATGACCCAAAGGAGGAACTCCAGGCTGAGAGACCCAGCTTCGTCCTGCTCTGCTTCCTACTTTGTTGTGACATGGAACAGAAAAAGTGTTAAGTACTGAGCCTCGCTGAAATTAGGGCCTCAGCTTTGCAATCTGTGCGATGGGTGCAAATCTGTGTCCTCTTGACCACATGGCATGGCTGTGAGGAAAAAATCAAGTCCAAATAATTATAGATTTTTTTTTTAAGTAAACGGGGTGAATGGTGCTGTTGTTTTAGCTGTTGTCAAGCTGGTCCTTGGCTCATGGAAACCTATGCACAGCAGAATGACATGCTGCCTAATCCTGTGTCATCTCTGTGACTGGTTTGGGATCAGACAGTTGCTACCCATAAAATTTTCACTGGCTGATTTTCAGAAGCAGATTGCCAGCCCTTTCTTCCTAGTCCTTCTTAGTCTGAAAGCTCTGATGAAATCTGTTAAACATCTTTACAGCATGCAGGACTGTTAACAGCATGCAGGACTCCACTGATAGATAGCTGCACATGAAGGGCATTGACTGGGACTCAAGCCCAGGTCTCCCACACATAAGGGGAGAATTCTTCCACTGACCAGCAGTTCCCTCATGACAGTGGTACAGATTGGCATGGGTGGTGTTCTCTTTTCCCTCTCTAATACCAATTTCTGTAGCCATTTGTGGCAATCAGACTGAACATCACAACTATAGAAAATGTTGACCCAGGTAGAAGGAATTATGTGAAGAATACGGGTTTTTCTGTGGACATTCCCTGGTGGGATCAGATGTCTCAGCTGAGTGGCGGTCATGAATTCCTGTTCTCTCCTTTGCAGGCAACAGACAATGATGTGGGGACCTTTGGAGAAGTCAACTACTTCTTCACCGATGACCCTGACCGGTGAGACCTTGCCCCAACCCCCGGGTGGCACTCTGCCACTGGAAAACCTTGGTGCCCAGGGAGAGTGTTGTGCCCTTTTCCTTTCACTCCCTGCTAACACCCTCCCGGGAATCAGAACTCCTGGGCACCGTTAGGTTGATTGTGATTCAGTCTCTGTCATGTCTCCTAAACTCTGTGGGGCATCATTTCTCTGACTCTCAAGGATTAACCTGTGGCTTTGTGAATGACAACTGTGTCTCTGACATACCATCATCACCATCACCACCTCACTCCCGTCACCATCATCACCACCACTATTCTCAACACCATCACCAACTCATTACCACCACCATTACCAGCTCACTCTCCCTGTCACGATCACCACCACCATTCTCAACATCATCACCACCATCACTGCCTCCTACCACTACAACTACCATCATCACTACCATTATTCCCAACACCATCACCAGCCACCAACACCACCTCACTACCACCACCGTCACCACAATCACCACTGCCACTATTCTCAACACCACCACCACCTTATTACCACCACCGTTACCACACCACCATCGTTGTCAGCAACATCACCACCTCACTACCACCATCAACACTGTCACCAGTACCACCAAGGCCTGACTACCATCATTCTCAACACCACCACTACCACCACCACTATTGTCACCCTCACCACCACCCCACCGTCCTGCTACTACAACCACCACCGCCACCATCACCACCTACACTCTCACATGGCCATCACCCTCTCTGGTGCTGTATCACTGTCCCCAGTGCCATTATAGTCAACTGCTCCTGGCATTTGTCAAATGCTTTATAGATGTTGTCGCTCCTAATGTTCACAACTAAACGGGACAGAAACTCAATGGTAGACAGGATAATCGTTCCCGTCTTATAGAACTTGTTATATACCATCGAGTCAGAACCGACCCATAGCTGGTCCTTCTGTGGGTTTTCAGCAGCACTGACTTCCAGGGGAGGAGATGGCCTATCTTTCTCCTGCAGAGCAGCTGGCGGATTTAAACCGCGTACCTTTGGGTTGGCAGCACAAGTCCTTCCCACTAAGCCACCCAAAGTCCGTTTCATAGAAGAGGAAACTGAAGCTCTGGCTCACCACACAGCTGCTGTTACCTGCTCCACTGTCAGACGTAGCCAGCTTTGCCCTGTTGTCTAGCATGGTTCTGGACCATCTCTTTGCCTTTATTTCCCACCATTTTTAGTTATTCTTTCATTTTCAGTGTGATCAAAGGCCAAGGGGAATTCAGAGGCAGGTCGGCTTCTAAAAATGAAGTGTCTGATGCATTTGGAAGCCCAACAGGATGAGTAAAATAGTGGCTGTCAGTTTGGATTACCATTCCAGCTGCCCATGGACAATCAAGAATAGACAAGGAGATTGTTCGGTTTTCCTGGCTGTTCTCTGTCCCTCTGTAACCAGGGCCTCAAAAGAAGAGAAGGGAGCCCATGCTGGGGTGGCACCATGGAACAGGCTCTCCTTCTGGGGACCTGCATCCTCACAGCCTTGTCCTGGTCTTCTTCAATCTTCTCATCTCTTCCTTTGCCTTGGCCTGGGCTTTTTGGGTCTCTGAGCTGGACCCTTCTGGGTTTGGTGACTGAAATGATTGACCAGGTCAGAGCCTCCAAATATCACTGGACAACTAGGATCGGGTTCCAGGGGGGCATGCTCAGAGGAAGCTGGTAGAGATGCTATATCATTGACCCTTGATTCTTCCCAGGAGATTTCTGCCAACTTCTTATCCAAGGCTTGGAGCTCCTCGGTTGTGCTAACAGTTAACACACTTGTCTGCTAACTGAACGATTGAGCGTTCAAGTCTACCCAGAGGTTTTCACAATAAAGGCCTGCTTATTTACTTCTAAAAAGATCATCCACTGAAAAACACATGTATCCCAGTTCTGCTATTGATGCCCTTGGGGTCTCCACAGTCAGAGTGGACTTGACAGCAAATGGCACTGGTCCCCAAGCCCCAAACTTTTGAACAGAAGATATAGATGTACTCCTAAGAAAGGACACACACACACACACACACACACACACACACACACACACACACACTCTGTTTGCTTTGCTGTCTGTTTGAAATATTTAGGTATAAAACCTTGTGAGGTGACAGAATGATGTCTGGCCATTACACTCCTTTAATACCTAAATACCACCTATAGGTAGAAACTTCGAGTTCACAGCAAGAGGAGAATCATTTGCCTGGTTTTCTTCTTGGATTAAATCAACACATGCCTCCTGTCCTTTCAATATCTAGCCAACCACTCTACCCACAATGTGATCCTGGGCCCTCCCCACCTCCCACCCCTCCGTTCTTACAGCAAATGATAAAGACTCTGTTCTTTCTTTATTTTTCTTTTTCTTTCTTTCTTTCCTTTTTTTTTTTTTTTTGTCTGTTACCTTGGGCAGGGACAGGCAGTAACCGTAGGCTCTTACCCACAGTCTGCTTTAAACCTGGGCGTCCTCTCTCTCCCTCCTTCCTGCTGGACACAGGTTCTCTCTGGACAAGGACACGGGCCTCATTATGCTGATCGCCAAACTGGACTATGAGCTGATCCAGCGCTTCACCCTGACGGTCATCGCCCGGGATGGGGGTGGGGAGGAGACCACAGGCCGGGTCAGGATCAACGTGTTGGACGTCAATGACAATGTGCCCACCTTCCAGAAGGACGCCTATGTGGGTGCCCTGCGAGAAAACGAGCCTTCTGTCACACAGCTGGTGCGACTCCGGGTAAGACACGAGGGTGCCCCTCCATCCTGTCATCCATCCTGTCCTTCCCTTTGCACCTTCATCTTACCCTCTCCCTCAGAGGCCACTGCAGTGGACGCTATGCTCCTGTCCACTTGTGGCAAAGGATTCTGTCTGATAAAGGGTTAAATCCTCAGCCTGCTGTGAGCCCCACCCATGTCTGTAATTGTGTTGAGCTACATAGGTTCTATCTCAGCATAAGCTTCAGGCCACCACTTAGCAAAGGGACGTCTACCTCCCTTGGACCTTAAATGAGGAGCGGTCCCTTCTGAGGTCCTCCGTCAAGCCCTTTGATGTCTACTTAGAAACAAGACTTACTTCCGCTGGAAGGACCAGCAAAGACCTTGGGATACAGGAGGGAGACAGGCAGGGAGGAGCTGGCGGTCTGGTGGAGTGAGGGAGTGAATTAGCCACAGAGCCAGGACTAGAACTCAGAACTCTACACTCCAAGGGTCCTCCTGCCACATTTCTTCCAGGCTCCAGTGATCTTTGACCAAACTCATACTACTCAGGTCATTGCTGTCAAGTTAGAACCGACTCATAGCTGACCCTCCAGCAGGTGGTCAGAGATTGTAAGTCACACGGGAGAAGATAGAGTGTCCATCTTTCTCTTATGGAGCAGCTGGCAGATTTGAACTGCGAGCTTTTGGGTTGGCAATGCATCTGCTTGCCCGCTAGGCCACCAGAGCTCTGACAATCTTAATGTCCTTGCTCTTCTCTCTCCACTCTTCACGTTCTGAATGACAGGACCCAGAGGCTCCACGTGGAGCTTGTCTCTGATGCAGATACGGATGAAGGCAAGGGTGGAGGAGTGGGTGTGAGGATACACAGAAGACAGGATCATGTGCCCGTCCCCCTCCGGCATTCTGTGGAACCCGTAGGACCCTGCCCTACCCCCTCCCCAAGGTCACACGATCCTCTTGAGACTGTCTAGGGTCAAAACAGACTGGAAAGAAGCTGATTAATCCTGCCTTCCCCCAAAGAGAACCAAGGGGAGGAGGATCCCAGCACCATCCCCAGTGCTGCTCCCATCCTTGCCGCTGTGCAGTCGGCCTCTATTAGACACCTACACGGAGCCCAGCACTCTGGCCTGCAGCTCTGCCCAACAATCACGTATCAGGAGAGGCCTTCTCTCTTGGAGTGGACAGTCCATGGAAGCAGATATGGGACAGATCTTTCCAGCCAGCTAGGAGGGGACCGGAGGGGTGCACAGAACACAAGTCTTCATGCAGCAAAGGTGGTTGTGGGTTGAAGGGTTTAAGCTGAAGCTAAAGTTTAAGGTTTAGTTTTATCAGGTGTGGGGTGACCATCTCTGTCTTCTGGGTAAGCACCAGTGTTCCCCTTTTCTTCTTAGCTCCACCCCCCACACCAGCCTGCCCTCTAGATTTCCCAGGATACCCTCTCTCCCCAGCACATGGAGGGGGTCCAGGTGTCTGTGCAGGCCAGAAGGGGCCTCCAGCTTAGTTCTGGGGGCTGGATCACCCACAAAAGGAGCTGTCCTGTGTGGAGTCTGAGAAGGGCCAGTCCCCTCCTGCCCACCTTCCTCCTGCCCAGGGGCTTCTGGGAGCTCAGGGGCCCTGTATTGTCTTTCCCTCCAGGCCACAGATGAAGACTCCCCTCCCAACAACCAGATCACCTACAGCATCGTCAGCGCCTCTGCCTTTGGGAGCTACTTCGACATCAGCGTGTACGAGGGCTATGGAGGTATGTGGGGGCTACTGTTTCGGGAGGCGACTTTCTTTTCTTTCCCTGGGAACCCCGGACCACTCAGGGGCTGCCTGCGGGCCCCAGTCAGCTAAGGCACCAGGAATTGGAGGCTGTCCTCCTGAAGGATTCCAGTCTTAGATCAGCCCGGTGTTTCTCTAGATCTTAAGCCCACAGTCAGCGCTGCTACAAAGCACCATCCAATGACCCTCAAATTGCTGTGGGCCCCTCTTTCTTGCCAAGACTGCCCTGAGATAATCTATGGGGGTGGAGGCTTATTCATCAAGGTTCCCTATCCTTTGGGTGCTTCTGTGGCCCTTCCTGGTCATACCAACAACAGAGAAAAACAAAAACATTGCAGTCTAGTCAAGTCTGATTCATTTGGTCAGAATGGAACTGTGCTCGGTCCATAGGGTTATTTAAGGTTATGACCTTCCAGAAACATTACCTCCAACCCTTTCTTCTGAGGAGCCACTGAGTGGGTTCGAAACATTAACCTTTGGGTTAACAGTTGAAGACTAAATGGTTTGTGTGCCCCAGGGTTTCTTCAGCCTTGGCCTCCTGGCTTTTCAGCTACCACGCCAGCCCCGCTAGGCCCAGGCCTAGTTCTGCAGTGTGGACCTTGCGCTGCTGTGATTCTCAATCCCTCGAGCCCTGGCAAGGAAGAGATTCAGCAGCCTCAAGTCCTAAGATCCCAAGAGACTTTATCATGTTTTCAAATGAAGCAATAAGGCCCAGAGATGGGGCGTGACTTGGCTGGGGTCACACAGCAAAGCTGTGAGGATGGCACCTGAGCCCATAATGATATGGCTGTGGACTCCCTCACCAGCCTCATCTCCATGCACCCCCATCCTTGAGGGGATCCAGTACCTCTTGGCATCCTCTTCACTTCCAGGAGGCACCTGTCCTCTGTGCCTTTGCAAATTCTGTTCCTGCTCCTCGAAGGCTCTTCCTCCCTCCCTGCCGCTGGGCCCTCCTCCCTGAGGAGTTAAGCCCATAAGCTCTGGGGAACCTCAAGAACTGCCCTAAGGAGCTTCCCTGGCTCCTGAAGACCACAGTAGCTGCCCTTGAGACAGACCAAATGTGAGATGGCATGACCTGAGCCACTCACTCTTTCCTCCCCACTCCTCCCACCCTCAGTGTGTCCGAGAAAATCCACTCCTGGAAATTGCCATCTCAGCCCCAGGTGCTGTAGCCTGTGGTCTCTCTCTTTAATCCATGCCCTCATTTAAGACACTCAGACTCCTCATGCCTGCCCTGGCCTGCCCTCTCCTTGGCTAGAGGAACCCCTAGGGTTGGCCTTACCAAAGCAATAATTTTGTTTCCATTTTCCAAGTAGTCATTCCACTTTAATATCGTTTAATACCTTTGCAGACCATGCATGTCCCATCCCCACCCAGAAGCCAATATACTCCCCCTCCCCTGCTGAGTATTCACAATTTAGTACAAAGGGTAGCTAATAGTCAGGGTTCAGATTGGATAGTCGAGGCTGCGGGGGCATTTGAGGCTCAAGGCAATGGTTCAGCTGCCCCCAGATCTTACCTCTCAGCCTATGTCTGAGACAGATTTTTGGTGTTAAGGGCTCTTTACCCCCTTCCAGAGGGTAAAGACTGCTACTCTGTAACCCTGAGTGCCCCTCACCTTCTCCAAGGCCAGGACCCATAGGGCAAAGTGAGGAGGGAAGGGGGAGAAGAAAGAGAGAAAAGCTGAAAAGGGAGGAAGTGGGTCAGAGGAGGAAAGGAGGAGCTGTCCGTGTCTCACTGCCTGGCACCTCAATGCAGGGTAATAACTGAGGGAAGAGCTCTGTTCATTTGAAGGGCTTCAGGTATGACCGGTTTCTCTAAGCTGCTTCTAGATTAATCAGGAAGGATAAAGTACCGATGACAAAGTCAGACAGACAGACAGGGCAGCAGGCAATACAGCTTACTGAGCAGGGACCTGGCTCTAGATTCAGACACTCCTGGGCTCTGGTGTCAGTTCTGTCATCGCTGTGTGGCCTCAGACAAGTGATGGAGCCTCTCTGAGCTTGGTTTCCTCATCTGTATAATGGGCTAATAATCATCGTCCCATGGCTTAGCATTGTGGCTGGCACACATCAGGCAGTCAATGGACACGAGATCTTTACGCTCCAGAAGTTTGGGGTCAGGCTAAGCAGAGCTGGCCTCGGCTGTGCCAGCCTCTCTGACCACTGGGAGGCATGGGGGGGAGGGGTTCTGACGTCTGCTTACAGAGGCCTGGGGGCCTGTTCCTCCTGTTTCAGTGATCAGCGTGAGCCGCCCTTTGGACTATGAGCAGATTCCCAACGGGCTGATTTACCTGACGGTCATGGCCAAGGATGCTGGCAACCCCCCTCTCAACAGCACTGTACCCGTCACCATCGAGGTGTTCGTAAGTATCCAGGGACAGTGGCCTTGTTCCTCCAACAGTGATGTCGAGTGCTCCCTGGCTAGCCTGGGCCGGGGGCAGGAAACTGTGTCCCCTTCCTGGCTGACCCCACAGTCCAGGTAATTGTCTGACAAGCCATCCCAAAGGCTGACCCCAAGCAAACCCCCTCCATTGCTGCAACAAACAAGCTACTTACTTCCTAGAACAGGCTACCAGGGAAAGCCCAGGGCCCTGAGCTTCAAGATGAGACACAGTACCCTGCCCTGGCTTTACTAGGAGGGGCAGGGGGGGGGGGCGGTCAGGAGACCCCCTGATGGGGAACAGGAGCTGGGGGTCGAGCAGGAGAAAATGTCACAGGATCCTTTCCCATCAGCCACACTCTGTGAAGTTCAAGGAAATTACTAGAAGGTCATCCCTCTTCCAGCTCTCCCTCTATCCCCCTCTTTCTATGCTTTTTCACCCCTTTCTTTTCCACTCCTCTGAAGATCTAAAGGGGCCTGAAACCAAACCACAGCTTGTCTGACATGAATATCAAACACACCTTAGTGCTTTTCGTGTCTGAAATTATCAGCCACTGAATCCATCTCCACGCCGGCTCATTGGCCCCGCGCTGCTCCCCCAGCGAGCCCGGGCCGCGGAGCGCCGTCTGACAGCCGGCTGCTCCCCCCGAGACCTCCCCACACGTGCTGTGCACAGCCTGCCCCCACGCAGCCGTGTTGATGGAAGAGTTAGTGCATTACCGGCTCCGCAAGGATTAGATCAGAGTGTCAGGTTAGGAGATACGCTGTGATTTGACATAAGCTCAGAAAATCACAGCCTGGAGCAGGCTTGCTGGATAACCTTCCTGTCACAGGCGACTCCAGCAGCAACCCCGGTGCAGCCAAGCCCTGACTTTAACAAGCCTCATCCTCTCGACCAGAGGCCAGAGCTCCAGGGCCTGGCTGGCTCCCGGGAGAGAGGCCCTTGTCTGGGGATGTTAGCTTGCTGGGGACCTGGAGCTGGAGATGATGGGGAAGTCAGGGTGCTGACTGCCAGGTGGGCATGTATTGGCTACAGGGTTTACAGGTGACTTGTGATGAGATGTTTGAATCCACCAGCCACTTTGAAAGAGGAAGATGAACAATCTCTTACGCAAAACAAACACACCAAAAAACAACCAAAAAAACCCCACCACCCTAAAACCAAACCCAGGAGCAGGTCAGTTATGAGTTGGTTCCAGCTTCATGGCAATGCGTTTGTTTGGGGGAAGGTGGGATTCTGAGAACAGCAAAGAGGGCTCAGAGCAGAGAGTCTGGGGCTTGCTTCCAGGTGCATAGAATCCTGCCTGGCTTTAGCCCACAGCATCCCACCTTCCCCCAAAGGGCTGAGGGCCATACCGATGCAGCAGAATGCATTCCTGGCTCCTCATGACCACATCCTGGTATTCTCACATAGCCTTGACCCTGACACTCACCGCAGCTCCCAAACCTTCCTTGACCCTGGTCACACTCATTGCCTCAGCAGATGCAGCCCACCCCCTTTTGTCTTAATTAACTAGTGCTGCCATAACAAAACAAACAAAAAAATTCATAAATTAGTGGCTTTAAAGAACAGAAATTTGTCTCCTCACCGGAGACTGAAAGTTCGTTCTGTGGCTTCGTGCCTCTTCTGGTTTCCGAGGACTGCTGTCAATCTTCAGCCTCACCACTTGTCCTCTGTTCCTCTATCTCTCAGTGTCCATGCTGCTCTGTTTAGAGCTCAGAAATTATACTCAGTTTAGGACCCACCTTACTCTAACATGGCCTCATTAACATAACAAAAGAAAACCTGTAACAAAACAGGATCTTGTTCAAGGCACAGGGGCCAGGACTTCAGTACCTGTGTTGAGGGCATCCCGCTTGGCTCCACAAGCCCTCCATTCCTCCTGGGCGCACAGTGCAGCAGCGGGTCCAGAGCAGATAGGGGCCTGCTCCACCCCCAGGGAGACAATGAATGGAGGCAAGGGTATGCTTGAGGGTTGGAAACCTGACTCAGCCACCCTCTGGCTGTGTGACCAACAACCTCTCTGAACCTCTGTTTCCTCACCTGCAAGATGGGAACAGTCATGGTACCTGTCTCATGATAGTGTCCTGGGAATTAAATGATGAGCATTCAGGTGGCATCTGGCACCGGGAAATGCTAGCCATCACGTTGGCTGAGACAGACAGCATCCCAATGACGGCATCCAGTCCCTATGTATTGGCTGTGCTGATGGGGACGACAGCGTGTAAGCTGGGGCCGAGAAGGGTCCTTCTAGGCTTTGGGGACACTGATGAAGGGTGGGGCTCAGGGAAGTAAGATGAGATTTTCTACAGCAGCTCAGGGATGAGCAGGCGTGACTGGCCAAATGGAAACTAAGATGTGTTAAACTCCACAGTGTGCTGGGCCCATACACACTGCAGTGTCTTGTAATCCCTTTACACAGATGAGGAGAGGCTCTGGGAGAAGAACAGCTGGCCTGAGGTCGTCAGTACCTTCATCACTAGCTAGGAGGCAGGGCTAGGGTCTGAACCCAGACCTGTCTGGTTCCTGAGTTCACACTCTTACCACCTCACGCACAGACTTAGGAACTTCTTGCTTTTATGAGCATGAGGCCGTCACATCTCAAGCATCTGTCCTAGTGCACGTGAACTTCCTGGTTGCTGGTTTGATGCAGGTTGTCGTGTGGTGGGTCCGCGCTTCGTATTGCCAGTCTACTCTTGGGCAGCTCTCCGTGGGTCTCGGAGTACCCTTAATGGGATCTTGGAACTCAGAAATTGCCCCATACTGTCCATAACCATTCATAACCTTCCATAACCAACCAGGGGTTCTTTCCCTAGACTGTGCTGTTTAAAAAACAACCAAACAGAAAAGTCATTGCCATCAAGTCAGAACTGACTCATGCATAGGTGACCCTCCAGCGGCTCTTTCAAGAGGCTGTGAGTCACAGGGGAGGACATTGCCTGTCTTTCTCCTGTGGAGCTGCTGGTGGACCTAAACCACCAATGAGGCACCGTCTGTGAGTTAACAGTACAACGTTCCATAGACTGCACCACCAGAGCTCCCCAAAGGAGGCGCTCTAGTCCACTCCAAGCGCTTCAGATGGGTCCAGAACAAGAGGACGGCCAGGCTGCTGGGCCCCTTACCCATTGTGAATGAGAGAATGGCCAGCAGCCCCACAGCTGATGTTAGAAAGCGCACCCCCACATGCAGGGGCAGGTGGACAGGACCCCACCCTCCCTCCGTCAGAGGCCAGCCCACCCCATGGAAGGGACACGATTTTCAGAGCCCCTCAGGGGTGCCCTGAGTCACTAGTGGTCGGCACTTCCCTTCCGGCAGCAGGAGGATCTGGAACAAAGACAGATGCTGCCTGGGCTGTGAAGCGAGAATTGTCTGTGGGGGCCAGTGGACAGTGTCTGAGGCCCACGCTTGAAAAGGTCACTGCCTTCAGGTTGATTTTGCACGTGGGTGATTTTTAAGTAGCTGTCACTTGGCTAAGCCGCTGGCTTCTTCCACAAAGGGATTTTCTCCCAACTAGAAAAGGAGGGGAAGAAAAAAAAAGCAGCCAGCTGACGATGAAGTAGTTGGTGGTGACGCTTAAGGGACAAGGTGGGGGGTGGGGAGAGGCACAGCACAGAGCTGGAGCCCTGGCAGGAAGAAGGAGGGGGCGAGAGGAGCCAGGTGATTCCTTTTCATCCACTGCTTGTTGGTTTTTAATAAAGAAGTCAAACTCGGTTTGTAGATTTCCCATTAGGGGACAATAAGCTTTTGGAGTGGGAGCCGCTGAATTAGAACTAATAGTGAATGCAGCGCCAGGATCCGGGGAAATATCACCGCTAATAAGTTTCTGCCTCGTGCTCTGTCACTGACATTCTCAGCGCTGTTTCGTGCAGTCAAGCAGAAGCCTTAAATATATATGTATATGGGCACTCATGCCCATGCCATGGGTCAAGGCCAGGGCAGTGCCCAGTGCAAGGTGAGGGTGCTGGATGCCACATGAGTCCCGAGACCCCAGAAGGACAGGGTGACATCAGCCAGGGTGCTGTTGAGAGCCGGCAGACAGATTGGGAAGAAGGTGGTCTTTCATTTCTAGGCACTGAAATTCTAGCAGGTGGGTTCTTTCTCTAAAGCCACAAGTCTGCTCGGCAGAGTCCTCTTTCCTGCTCGCTCAGCCGGAAGTGCCTGCAGCACAGAAGGGCTTCACGTGGGCATCATGTCGGCATCGTGCCCTCTACGAGCCTTCCCTTCCATGGGGCGATGAGCCGTTAAGAGTGAAGCCCCAAGAAACTTACCTTAAACTCTCTGCTATCGAGTCTGTTCCAGCTCATGGAGACGGCTGTGGTCAGCATAGAACTGACTTCACTGAGAATTCTTGGCTGTGATTTTACAAAGGAGATTGCCAGGCCTCTTTTCTATAGTTTGAATTTCAGCCCGTAGGGTGAGGAAGTGTAGGGCAAACGGTTTGTCCACCAGGGGCTGCAATGTAAAGATGGCCTAGGGGGTGCGTGCTGCTTCCAAGTGACCCTTGAGCCACTGAGCTGGTGCCCAAGCTGGCCCTGTAGGAAAGGGGGGACTGAGTTCTATGGGCCAGCAAGGGTTCCTTACAGAGAGAACAAGAGGATTCTTGTTGAGTGATTGCAAAAGGTACTTGGAGAGGATGAGAGTTTTAAAAGGTAGGGAAGCTTTTCCTTGATTGAAGAGAAGGGAGGTGGGGCCGATAGCAAGAGCAGGAACCGGAAGCCACAGCCTTTGCTCCAGGGCTGCACTCCCAGAGGATGCACCCCACCTGGTTCAGGCCCCAGCCACACTCCATCTCCCGCCCCCCAGCCGTGCCAAGTCACTGGGATGAAGCCTGGGCCACTGAGGAGTGCTGGGGTGGGGGACCTGGAACAGCCTTTGCTCAGGGGCACAGAAACCTTGTTCCTAGATAGATGCGCATTCCTGCATATACTTGCCTACAGCCAGCTCCAGGGAAGGAGTTCAGGCCCTGGAAGAAATCACCTGAACTTTCCATCCTTCCATCTGCCTGCAGCTTACCTACTTCTGTATCTTCTCGGTTCGGTTGTCCTTTTTTCCCTTAGTTTTTGAAAGGTCTTCTAGAAGCTTCTACCGTCCTCTTGACTGAGCTGAGAAGGCAGGTCTGAGAAAGCAGCCCTAGTGTGGGGGCAGATGAGTGAGGGTGGGAGTGCAGGAGCAGAGCCTGGAGCGCAGCTGGAAGCTGGAGAGAAGGGTAGAGGCTATAAGGGGTATGGAGAGCAGGAAGAACTAGGGGAGCTGAGAGGCTTGGGCAATTCCAGATGCTGCCCCCTTCCTCTCCATCGTCTCCCCTCCCTGGTTCATTGGGTCCTGTGTGTTTTCCAAGGCCTCTCTTGCCTCTTTTTGAACCACAGCCTAATCATAGGGACCCTCACTCTCCTGTCTCCCCCATGAGCAGTCTTTGGTGCCCAGACGTACCCGTCCCACCCCTGGATACCAGCCTTGGACAGCTGAGCAGCCTACGGGCCTCCCTGCCTCCTCTGAGCCTGTCTATTTCTCTTCCAGGACGAGAATGACAACCCGCCGACCTTCAGCAAGCCTGCCTACTTCGTGTCTGTAGTGGAGAACATCATGGCAGGTACTGGCCTGCGGGGAGGGCCAGAAGGCAGGCAGCCCACCTTCACAGGGCGCTTGTGGGTAGTCTGCATCCAATGGTGGTCAGGGTGGCAGGAGGGGATGGGAGCCAGAGGTCTGGAGGGCGCAGTCTCAGATCAGAGAAAGGCTGACCCCCAGGCCAGGATCCCCCCAAGGTTGAAATGGAAGAGACCAGACATTAAACAGAAAATAAAAACCTCACAGTTCCAGTGGTAAAGAAGATATTTAAGATGGAAATGGAGGACAATAAACATAGACGAATTAAATATAGAGCTTCATCTCTTTTCCATTCAAAATAAAGCTGAGAATTTGAGTGTGTTTAATGTGGTGGGCAGTCAGGGAAGGGTGGAGAATAGGCCTGAGGACTGGCCTGTGTCATCTGCCCTGGCAACCCTGTCCCTTCACAGCCCAGGGGTCTCAGGCATACGAGTGGTTGCTGGGCCTGCTCCTATCACTTAGACACCCCAGTGGGCAGGTTTCCTGGCTCCCCAAAGACTGATCACTGGGAGGAAGGTGCCTATGTCTTCCCCTCTGGGGCCCTGAGCAGACTCCCTCTGTCCCCTTGTCTCCTGGAAGGAGCCACAGTGCTATTCCTGAATGCCACTGACCTGGACCGCTCCCGGGAGTACGGCCAGGAGTCCATCATCTACTCCTTGGAGGGCTCCTCCCAGTTCCGGATCAACGCCCGCTCAGGTGAGCCCACCTAGCCCTTCCCGCTGTGCTCCTGCCTTCCTACTCTGCTCTGGGACCTGCCTCCCCTGCCGGTGTCTCTTCCCTCTCTCAGGACACCTTGTGAGCAAGCCAGCCTTGAACACCTGGTTTTATCTTTGAAGCAGATAAAATAGTTGTTGTTATTGTTAAGTGCTGTCAAGTCATAGACGACTCATAGTGACCCTATGAATAAAAGACCTGACCAATTTATAACTTTCATTATTTCTCCAAGTTCATAGGGTTTCCGGAAGCAAGCTATTTTGGAAGTGGATGCCACTCCTGCTTCCAAGCTTGTTTTAATCGGGGAGCTCCACCAAATACTGTCCACCATGGGTGACCAATATTGCATTTGATGCATCCGATAAAATATAAACTTATAAAATACCTTAGAATCTTATAAACTCCCTACCAGCTAGGTCACCAGAGTTGAGTTATAAAAAAACCGTAGTGCTTTTTGGAGGCAGGGAAATCAGAGCTTCCTTTCTCATACTTCGAGCATGTTGCTAGGAGAGGCTGTTCTTTGAAAAGGGGTATGACGGTTGGAAAGGTGGAGGGTCAGAGAAGGAACAGAAGACCTCCAGTGGGATGGATTGATACAGTGACTGTAGCAACGGGCTCAAGTGCATCAGAGACAGTGAGGACGGCCCAGGATAGGAAGGGCTTCAGATCCTGTATTCGAGTCAATGGCATCTAATGACAACAACAAATTAACCAAGTAAAACATTTACTATTGAGTAAACAAGCAATTTTTAAAATCGCAGCATCATGAGTTTATCCACTAGAGGAATTATTTAAGAGGGAAGAGTCCTGTGATATTTAAAGTGTGTTGTTTTCAAAAAAGGTTGTTACAAACCACTTCTGGGAACACCTTTCTTCAAGCCTGAGTGTCTTTCTCCCGCGGCTGCAACCTAACACTCACATCTGACTCCTCTTCACAGTCCTTGTTGGACAGGACACTGTGCCTCAGTTTCCCCATCTGTAAAATGTTGTTCCTGCTGCTAACTACCGCCGAGCAGACCCTCAGCGACTCTGCACGACAGGACCTGTGACCCACAGGGTTCTCTCTCACTGACCGCCGTTTTGGATGTAGATCACCAGGCCTGCCTGCCTTGTGCATCTCACTTCAAGCGCTGCTGAAGCAAACCTCCACTGTCAGCAGGTGATGGCTGGGCAGTGTGCTGGCCGGAAGTCAAACCTAAGTCTTCCTCCATGGGAGCTGAGAACTTCAGCACTGAACCCCCACTCCCCCACCTGTAAAATGAAGATGTTCTTATTAGTACTGTTGTGTTGATGAAATGATTTGTTACAGGGAACACACTTGACTAATTATGAGCATCTTATAAATGCTAGCAAATTGTCATCTGGCCCAACTAAAGAGCTCAGGGTTCATGTCCACCCAGAGGCACATAGACAGCCTGCTTCCCGAAAAGCAGCCTTGGAAACTCTCTGGAGTGCAGTCCGCTCTGACATGACGACCCCAGGACTCAGAATCCTCGCTGATTGATATTAACCAAGTGCTTAGCACACAGTGGCCACTGTTCTACATGCTTTGACCAAATCATCTTGTTTGACCCCCCTCACCGCTCTGTGAGGCAGGTTCTGTATTATCCACATTTTCCAGATGAGGAGACTGAGGCACAGGATAGGCTGAGTAACTTGACTGAGGACTCGGAGAACCCAGACTTTAATTACAACATTATGTGAAGGAATTCCCGAGGCCCTTCCCCCTGGAGGCAGTGCTGGGCACCCTCACCTTTCAGCAGCCCCCCACCACTCGCTGCCACCTCCCAAACCAGGGACTCCCGCTCCACCCGGGGCTTTAACAATGACATAGACATATTCTTGCCTCCTTAAAACGTCTCCTTTAGCTCCAAAGGTGTGAGCATTTTCCTCTGAGCTCCTTGGTCAAATTAGCTAGGTCTACTCCGCAAAGGTGGCCTTAATTGGATCTAATTTCCCAGACAGAAGGAGTGATCTATCATGCCGACAAGTTCATGTTTAAAACTTTTTAGAGATTAATTTCCTCCTCACCCTGCCAATTAACCAGCACCGCCCTGGCAGGGAGCACGGCTCAGCGGGCAGACCTTTGCCAGGCCTGTTCCTGGTCTTTCCACCTTAGCTTCCCCAGCTTCCTCCTCCACCTCACCCAGGCCGGAGGACGGTGCAGTGTGCCAGGGAGGGAAATGTCTGCAAGGAAGGAGCTCTGGGAGCACCCGGCCCAACTCCCTTGTCTCACGTGAAGAAACCAGACACAGAGATACAGTCACTTGGCCCCGGCCACACAGCTCACTCAGGCATTGGGGGTGAAAGCTGAATAACTCCCAGTCCCCACTCAGGGGAAATCAGCCTATTGGAAGGAAGCAAACATATTCTGAGTGTTGGGAACATTACCTATAGTCATTTAATCCTCACAACACCTCTGATTAGAAGTGATAATAACGTCCATCTTACAGATGAGAAAACTGAGGCTTGAAGATTTTAAACGCCAAGGTGGCCTCGTCAGTCGGAAGCTGCCAGCCCCAGGTCTAGAATCCACCAGCTGCTTCTCAGATGAAGAATGGGCCGCCGCCTCCTTTTTGATTTACTGCCTCTGAAAACCCACCAGAGGGTCAGCAGGTTCTGACTCAGTGACAATGAACTTGTGTTTTTGAGTTCTTAGGGAGGAACATTGGAAAGATTTCTATTTAGAGTTCACACCTGAGTCCTGCTATCCTCAAATAGTGGGCTTTTCCTCACAGCCCGTAGTAAACTGTCTGGCCACGGTAAGCTCGAAACAATTTCGTACTGGACAATACTGGCTCACGTAAGCCAATTGTGTGTGCATCTCTCTTCCCAGCCATGTTTAGTGGCATCAAGTTAGGTAGTTGAAAAGAGGCCCTGGTGCGAATGATAAAACCAAGGAGTCAGTGTTAAAGGTTTACCAGCATACTCTGTTGCCAGGGTAGTTTCCAAAAAAAAGAGCGGGGGAACCTAAAAAAATTATACTGCAGTTCAAAAAAACTCCACTATAGGCAGACAAAATGGTTGTGTGCTTCAGATGTTCCTATTTAATGGAGTAACTTGATCACATTAAAAAAAACACAAGACAGAATCATTAATTACAGCGGTTATTTTAGAACTCCATCTCAATATGCTACAGATTACGACGTGAAGAACTTGGCCTTTTCAGTCCTGTCACATTATCTCTGTGACTGTCTGAATGAACCTTCCCTGGTGAGCTACAGTGATCCCCAAAACAGTTCTACGTGGATGGTTCTTCTGTTCTCATTGGCCAGATGAGGGCTCCGCGTTTACGTGACCCATGCTAGGTGACAACGCCAGAGAGCTAACATGCCAAGTGTGAATCAAATGCTGTGAGTGAATCTAAGTCTGATGACCTGCCTGCTCCTGAGATGCAGTCCTGCAAGTCAGCCCAGCTTTTCCCAAGAAAGACATTCCTCCACATGGGGATTCTACAGCTCAGGCGTGGGGTACTGGATCGCGGGACACAGTACTGCCCCACCCTTCCCTGCACTCTGTCTCCTCACCACCCCTCCCCCGACTGCCCAATGCATGGACACACACGCACACACACACACACACGTCTTCCTGTACGCTCTCACACCCTCTGCTGCCCTGGCTCCCTCTCTGGCCCTCCATTCACTGTCTCCCTTCCTTCTTCGGCAGGTGAAATCACCACCACCTCCCTGCTTGACCGGGAGACCAAGGCTGAATACATCCTCATTGTGCGTGCGGTGGACGGGGGTGTAGGTCACAACCAGAAAACTGGCATTGCCACCGTGAGTGTTGCCTCCTGATCCCTGCAGCCCCTCACTTTCCAGCTCATCCTCCAAGCACTATGGGAGTGGAGGGTATTGGATCCCAGCCCATCATCGGCCCATGTGTCCCTGGGGCCAGGTCAGCCCTATACAAGAAAGGCCCTGCCACCTGGATGTGGGGGGCCCAGGAGGAGTGAGATGGAATGGGTTCTCCCCTGCCCCCAGAGGACAGCTGTACAGACAGCAGAGGCATGACTCCCAAGATTTACACTTGCCAGCAAGCAGGTAGGACCATGGCTGCTCAGAGCAGAAAACAGAACCAGAGAGTGCCTGGGAATGTGGCCTTCCCCTCATCTGATGGTACACTTCCTTCAGCCAGTGGGACAGTAAAGACTAGGACCCCACCCATGACTTCTTACACCCCCCCCCAAAGGTGCCGCTGAGGGTAGAAAGCTGAGGAGGAAAGGCGGGGTGTCTTGAATGATCACTACAGAGGGGAGAGGGGACCTGAGAAGCGAAGATCTGCCCTCTCCACCTGTTAGGTTTGCTTTCTCTGACTCGCCCTGAGGGCGCCTCTGTGGCTATTCCCAAGACCCTTGCCCCACCCCCATCCTTGCCCAGCCTGAGGACATACACAAAAGTCCCCAGTGCCCTGGTCAGTCACAGGAGGCCCCTGCTAATAGGAATCAGAGCTCTATAAATAATTTACCTGGGCAGCAAGTGAGCGGGGAAATTGCTTGGCTTGTAGCTGAGATGGAGAAGCTCAAGGGATTCTGTCTCCTCCCCCACCCCAAACCTCCCCACTGCCAGTCACCTTCAGACCAGACTCAAGGTGGGCTGGGAGAAGCCCAGGGTCACAGCAAGGATTCAAGGGCCATTTCATCCATCTCCCTCCTGGTGAGAGAGCACCCCAGCTCTTCCTTCCTTGGAGAGAACTGCGTTTCCCCATCCTTGAAAATCCTAGCCTTGCCCCAAGATTGCCAAAATGATAGAGCTGTTGGCATTAAGCCCATGATGCCCTAGGGAGGCCCTGGCCTTGCCCTGCTCTGCAGCACCCATGTGATTTCCCAGGTGAATGTCACTCTCCTGGACATCAACGACAATCACCCCACGTGGAAGGATGCTCCCTACTACATCAACCTGGTGGAGATGACCCCTCCAGACTCTGATGTCACCACGGTAGGTGGCTGCCAAGCTGCCCTTCTGAGGGTGTCTCCCATTCCCACAATGCACCCCCAGGGATACTCATGTGGGAGATAGAGTTAAAGGATTTGGAGGCTGGGGGAAGCCCTCACCAATCCTCTGGGTGCTGTGGCCTTCAGGGTGTCAAAGCCCAGGAAACAGGAGGTAGGATTGGGTCAGCTTGTCACTCACACTTTCCCGGGAGCCCAGGACCTGTCCTCAGCACTCTGGTCACCCGCACAGGAGAAGCCCCAGGTACAGCTCCCGTCTTTACAATGGACAGACTTGGCTCTGTCCAGATGTCTTTCCTTAAATTTTCCAGCCAACTGACCAGCACAGTTCCTTAGAGACAGAGGAACTGGCCCCCAGAACTGCCCAGCGGGGTTCAGTTCACTCTAAGCATTCTCCAGCTCGGGGTTTGCCTGAGCCCTCCTGAGTGGCCCCATGATGAACATGTGTGCAGGGGTGAGGCTGTGCTGTCAGCACTGCTCCAGCTTGGGGTGAGGACAGGAGATTGACCAAAACCATGTTGCTGGTGCTGTTGTTGTCAGGTGCAGTCAAGACTCATAGCGACCCCCTGGACAGCAGCTCTGAACCCTGACCCGCCATGTGCCATCATCATCTCTGATACACTTGAGCTCACTGCTGCAGTCACCACGTCAATCCATCTCATTGGGGGTCTTCCTCTTACTTGCAAAGGTGGAGGGTCAGAGAAAGGCCAAAACCATAAACGTCCTTAAGGGAGACCCGTGCCCTAGAAAGGCTCAGGAAATTGGGGCAGCATCTCCTTGCAGTGAGTTTCTGAGAACTCCTGAGCTGCCCTGTCGTGAGAGTTCCACTTGTAAGGCGCTCTCCCCTCCCCTGCAGCCCACTAGATCCCATTTGGGGAGACTTGTCCCGGATGCCTCCCCATTGCCCGTACAATGAGCACGAACCCTGCCAGCTCATGGAGCCCATTTTTTGAATGTCCTTTTCATGCCAGCTCCGTGTTCAGGGCCTCCCTTCATTTCAGCCTCATGTGGCAGGTCCATCACGCCCATTTTGCTGTGGAGAGACCAAAAGAGATTCAAGGTGCTAGAGCTGGTACAGCAGGACTTGAACCCAGGTCTGTGCAGCTTTGAAACAAGCAGTTGGAAACTACCTTACCAACCTTTATGCATCTATGGGCTCAGCTGCAGCCTGGCTGGTAGCCCAGACCCAGGATTTTATGAAACAGGTGAAGGAATTAATCCAGCTCTCCAGAAATAGTCCAGCCACCCTTCCCAAGGATTTCAGTAGAGTGGAGGAGTGAAAATGGACCTCGGATCTGTGATTTTCAAAAGCCTCCTGGTAGAGAGTCCTTCCTTGAAAACCAAAACTCTGTCCTTGCGCTGTCTCAGGCTCTGGGCCTTGGTGGCTGCTTTCTGCTGCCACCTGGTGGACACTTTGGCCCTGGCCCAGGACACCACCTGCCCTCCCCAGCCAGGGACTCCAATGGTTGCTGTGCAGGATGCCCACCTCTAAATCTGCTGTCGGATATTCTCTTACTTCCACTTTATGTCTCTGATGGGAACTGATAGATACATCCCTAGGACAGAGTGGCCTTGCGTGGAATCTCAGTGTCATTGTGGATGAGTCAATCAATTCGAAAAACCCAGAGAGTAAGGGCAGGGGCTGCACTTGGCCTTGGGCAGTTGGGGTCCTGGTCCCCAGCGGTCTTCTCCAGGTCTCCAGCCTGCCTTGTACCCTTCTTGTAAGCTGTGCACTGGCACGGGAAGTGGGTAGGATCTTGCTGCACTGTGCCGTCTCATCCTCCAGGAACCCTAAGCCTTCAGTGAGCACCGACTGTGTGCCCAGCCTGTGCTGGGCAGCCTTGGTGCAAGGAGCCTCCCAGGAGCTGGGCAGGCCAGGCAAGCCCACTGCGCAGTATAGAGGGGGCTTGGGTCAGGCAGAGGTCTGGGCCCCTCAGATACCTGTAATAGTGCTTGAGACCTGAAAAAAAAAAGTGTAATGACTTGAAATCAAAAAAGAGAACGGCCGGATCAGCATTAATACTCCTTTTAAACATTTTCCCAAAGTAATCATAAAGTGTAGTGTTTGTGAAATGTTGCTACCCTCTATGGCAAATTGTAGGTTAGATGTTTCTGAAATTATCAGAGATATTCAAGCATCCCCTCAGATTCCCTCTTACATGTTATGGTTGCCAGGAATTCATGATATCAGGACACCCATTACACTAATTGAGCTAGTCCTAGCCAATTTCAAAAGGCATCATATAAAAATCCTTTTGCAGTTTATAGCCATAAATGTATATATGCATGGAGAGGAGCCCCTTGAGAACCTCTAAGGCCTCACAGTGGCCCTCAGCGAAGTAGAGGCAGTGACGGAGGTATGCTGCCAGGTGATGTCAGGAAGAGGTGCTTTGTCACCTCTCTTTCCATCCCCACTGCACCGCCACACAATGGCCATTCAGCTTCCTGTGAACCCTGCAGACTCCTCCCACCTCAGGGTCCTTGTGTGGCCCCTCACTCTCCTCCTTCTCCTTCTCCTCCTCCTCCTCTGCCCCACCTCTTGCTCCACCCTTGCCCTCATTCTCTTCCTCTGTCACCTCCTCTAAGAAGCCCTCCATCCTGCCTTAGATAGCTCCATCTTCACCATACTGTTTCCTTCAGAGCTCCTCCACAGGCTGTCTGTTAAGTCTCCTCTTTCTGAATAGCCACTAGTTTTGGAGATTAAGTGCAGACTCTAGTACCAGAATGCCTGGATTCTAATCCCACTTACAGCATTTACCAGCTGTGTGATCTTGGGCAAATTACATAACCTCTCTGTGCTCCAGTCTAATGAGATTCTGCACCAAATAGAGCTGTGACTGTACTTAATGAGCCAGTACACATGAAGCACTGGCACTGGTCATAAATGATAGCTGTGTCTTCATCTCCCTCCCTCCTTCCCTCCTTCCTTCATCAGATGGCATCTGTTTTGTTTGCTGTTTTAAGCCCTGTGCCCAGCACTATGCCAGGCACCTGTAGGTGATCAAAATATTTGTGAGTCAGTGTGGAATAATTTCTTCAGGTGGGGAAGAGCTAGCCCCTCACCTCCCCCTCTGCAGCCAAAGCAGGTCAAGGGTGAGTCTTCCTTGTCAGCGGGAACCTTGAGAATGTGACTCAGGACCCTTCCTGGAGCGCCCCCTAGAGGAGGTCCTGCACCTGTCCTCCTGGAATCAGAGAAACTGAGCAGTTCCAGGATGTTTCAGAGCTGTGTGTTGATCCCTGATGCAGGAGCTCTGGGCATCAGTGTGAGAACGGGCATCACTGTGCATGGGTGGAGACCACGGCATGTCCCCCATATTCTGTGGATCAGGCCGATTCTGTTTGCAAGTGAGATTTGGGTCCTGCTTTCCCTCCTGGCTCCTGCAACCTCCTTCAAGGACCTGGCTGATGGGCATTGATTTAGAGCCTTTCAAAGCCTTCCAGCAAAATAAAGGAGAGGGAGAGGGAGAGAATTATTCCCCGTCAGGCCGGGAGAAAAATGATGAGCATGAAATGGGAAATAAATGGGGGGAAAAGTGGCTAGAGTCCACAAAACTGCCCTTGGGGAGGTGGCAACAGGGGTCATCTCCCCAGCCACCCTGCTGCCACCCAATCAGGACCCCCAGGCAGGGCACCCCCAGCACGAGGGTCAAGAAAAGGAGACAGAATTGAACTGACACTCCCGGTGAAATTTATTCCCGCAGCAGGCCACTGGCCTTGGGCAGGTCACTGCCTGGCTCTGTGCCTCAGTTTCACTATCTAGAAAAATGAGTTTTTTCCCAAATCTCCTCTAAATGTGGAGAGGAGCACTGCTGAAATCTAGGGGTGCTGATTTTTTTGGGTCATTAACGGAATGACTTTGCTCTGATTACACCTTGAGCCCCCAGAAGCCCTGCCTCATGTTAGCCGGTCAGGAGTGACTGGGTTCCCTTTGTGAAAGTTGGGGAAACTGAGGCAGCATTCCATCGCACAGTGAGGGTGCCTGGTAGTGTGGCTGGGAGGGGCCTGGTAGATTGGGTGTGGGACTACCCCCCACCTCTCCAGAGCAGCATCCCCCACCTGCCTCAGCCTTCCTCCCTGGCCTCCAGGGGCCCAGGGCAGATGGGAGTCCTTGGCTGAAGCAGCCCATCTGTCCGTTCTGGTCTGGTGGACCCAGTGACTCTGCCAGCTGGGGATTAAGCCAGAAGAGGGACAGATTCTGCTGCCAAAGCACAAAAGCCCCACATCAAGGAAGATGAAGGAGCTGACGAGGCCAGGCTGTCACCTCCCTGAGTGGCCTGGAGTTAAGAATGAGTCTCAGGGACCACAGTCTCCCCTCCCATTGATCTTATCTACTCTGGTGCCACCTCCGTCTCTGCAACATGGCGGAGCCAGCTGAGGGCAGTGTCACTGCTGTCCTGGAACTCCAGGAGACTTGCAGGGCTGGACCTGGATCTTGGCCCAAGGTTAATGTCGCATGACCTTGAGTTTGGCCTGGCCTCTTGGGGCCCTGCTGTCCCTTTATGGAGAGGAAGGCAGGTAGTACCTGGTGTGGTGCCCTGTCCAGCACAGGAGACCCCAGAGGAACGAGCCCCCTTGTTTATAGCCTGGCTCTGCAGTGCTGGGAGCCTAAGGGATGTCTGAGAACTCGGGCCAGTGCTGAGCATTGATCCCTTTATGGATGGGGGCTTGTAACTGGAGACCCAGGGAGGCAAGGCTGGAGAGTTAAAGCAGCGGATCCAGTCCTGAGTCTCTCTCTCTCCCTCCAAAGAGGCCCAACAATCCTTATCATTCATCCTGCCCACCCCAGATCCTGAAGCACCCCAGTTTCCTAGGACCCACCCACCCACCCAACTTGGGCCAAGCCCTCGGCCCCCTCCTCATGCTGTCACAGAGGCTTTTGCAAATCAGATTACAGTCAATGGCAAAGGAAGGGAGGGTTTCACCATGAGGAATCTAGCTCTCCAAGCTCAGGCTATAAAATCCTAAAGAACAAGAGGTGATGTGGAGGAGACAGAGAAACCAGAGCCCCACGCGCTCCTTGTGGGGAGGCCGAGTACGCAGTCGCTGGGAGAACACGGTGGCAGCCCCTCCAGATAAGGGGAAGCACGGAGCTTCCTTACGACCCAGCCGTTCCACTCCCAGGACAGAGCACCGGGGCCTGACTGCGGGGCATAGCAGATGTTTGTGCTCTCACTGCAGTACTACTCACAGAGCCACGAGGTGAAACTGTCCGAGTGTCCGCCCACAGAATGCTGAATTCATGCTTTTATCATTGTTGTTAAGTGCTGTTGAGTCAGCTACAACTCTTAGCGACTCTATGAACAGCACACCTGAAATTTGCCCTGTTCTGTGTCTGTGTCAACTTGAATCCATTGTTACAGTCGCTCTGTCACAGTCACTCTGTCATTCTGTCTCATTGAGGGTCATCTTCTCTTTCCCTGATCCTCCATCTCTCCCAGCATTCTATCCTTTTCTAAGGTCCCTCTTGACAATATATGCAAAGTATGTGAGATGAGGTTTCATCACCATGCCTCTAAAGAGCAGCCTGCTTGCATTTCCTCCAAGACAAACTGTTGGCAGTCCAGTCCCGAAGAGTTATTGTCCATTTAAAGACTAACGTACACCATGGCTTTTCCAGTCACATGCTGTTCATCTGAGAGCTGGTCAGTGAATGTGGATGATAGAAGAATAGATGTCTTTTAGTTGTGTGTTGTTGTTGTTGTTATGTGCCATCGAGTTGCTTGCGACTCATAGCGACCCTATGTACAACAGCCTTAAACTCTGCTCTGTCCTGTGCCAATCGCACCGTCTCCCACACACCCATCCCTATTACCCCAGTTACTGAATCGATCTACCTCATAGAGGGCCTTCCCCTCCTGCGCTGTCCCTCCACCCTCCCAAGCATGATGTCCTTCTCCAAGGACCAGTCTCTCCTTACAACATGTCCAAAGTATGTTGGACGGAGCCTCAGAATCCTTGCCTCCAAGGAGCCACCCAGTTTAACCCTTTCCAGGATAAATCTGTTTGTTTTCCTAGCAGTCCATGGTACTCTAAATACTATTCTCCAGCACTGCAGCTCAAAAGCATCAATTCTCCTTCTATCCTCCCTGGTCATTGTCCAGCTCTCTGATGCATAACAAGTGATTGCAAAGACCATGGCCTGTACCAGACGCACCTTAGTCTCCAGAGACACACCGTTGCTCTTCAGTACTTTAGAGAGGTCCCTAACAGCAAACTTTCCCATCACAATACGTCTTTTCATTTCCTGGCTGCTGATGCCAAGAGGGTTGATTGTGAAGCCAAGTAGCCTAAAGCTGTGAACAATCTGAATCTCTTCACCATCCATCCTGATGCTGCCAATTGGTCCAGTGGTGAGAATCTTTGCCTTCTTGACATTGAGCCTAGTCTTGGAGAAAAGTACTGAATATCCTGTGGCTGCCAATAGAATGGACAGATACGTCTCAAAGAAGGTGCAGCCAGAGCACTCCTTGGGGCAAGGATGGAGAGTTTTGTCTCACACACGTTGGGCACGTTAGTAGGAGAGGCTAGTCCTTGCAAAGGGACATCGTGCTTGGGAAAGTGGAGGGTCAGTGAGAGGAAGACCCTCAGCGAGATGGATCAGTACAGTGATTTTGGCAATGGGCTCAAGTGTGCCAGAGATGATCGGGGGGCATAGGGTTCAGAGCCTCTGTTCATAGCATCGCTGTGAGTCGTATGAGACTTGATGGCACCTAACAACATGAATACATGCTGCCAAACAGATGGACTTGAAAACCATTACACTGAATGAAATAAGCCAGCCACAAAGGATACAAGTATTGTATGAATCCACTTCTCTGAACTATCTCAAGCAAATGCGAACTTGTTGCCACGGAATTGGAACCATCTCATAGCTGACCTTCCAGTGAGTTTTCAGAGATTCTGTGGTCTAGTGGTAAGGAGTTGTGCTGCCAACCCAAAGGCACATGGTTCGAATCCACCAGCTGCTTCACAGGTGGAAGATGGACAATCTCTTCTTGTGCAATTTAGGACCGTAGGGCAGCTGAAGGATTTGAACCACCTGCCTTTTTACGTACTAGGCCACCTTAGGATGGCAAAATCATAAAGGTAGAAAGTAGACTCAAGGTTGCCAGGGTCTGGGGAAGGAGAGAGGGAGGTTATTGCTGGTTGAGGTGATGGAAATTGTTCTACATGGGCAATGGTAACAGTCACGCTGGCCCCTGGGTGGTGGGCATGGTTTGTGCTCAGCTGCCAACCAGGAGGTTGGTGGTTCAAGCCCACCCCGTGGAACTGTGGAAGAAAGGCCTGGCAACCCATCTCTGCAGGGTTACAGTCTGTTGACAACCCTGTGGCACTCAGCTCCACTGTGAAACCCTTGAGCTCGCTGAGTTGGACTCCTGTCAATAGCAACAAGTTTAGTATTTGTTCTGTGGCCAAACACCATTGTAGATGTGATTAATGGCACTAAATCATACACTTTAAAATGGCAAAAGCAGAAAATGCCACGTTACAGATATTTTACCTATATAAAATAAGGTTACTAAAAGCTCAGCCAAAGGTCTAAACTTCCTAGTCAAGAGCTCCTGCGAGCCCCCTTTCCCTCTTCGAAGGTTGTGCCCATGTCCCTCTGCACATCTGAAGAAGAAGGGCACAGGAGGGCTGGCAGTCACCAGTGTGGGCAGTGAAGGGACCAGAGCAGACGTGGAACTCCAGCCATGCCACTCCCTCACCACATGACCTTGGGAGCCTCACCACGTGACCTTGGGAGCCTCACTGAGCCTCATCTTCAAAATGGTCTCAGTGACAGGCTTTGGCCTCAGAAGGGTATCACTGTATCACTGGGCACCTGCTGTGTGCCAGTGTGTCCCAGCCACATGCTCTCAGATACGACAGCACATGTTGTCTTCATGGGAGGCAGAGGGCACCACCATCGATGTTGTCAAGACTTAAAGACTTAAGTGCACGTCCAAGGTCAGGGCTGCTGGGTGAGGAAGCCAGGACTAGGAATGACCTCCACTGCTGATTGATCTTCAGAAGCTCCCAGCCCCCTGCAGACACCCCTGCAGAAGACTGGGGAGAAGGCAGCGCCTTTGCCCAAATGAGCCAGGAGGCCTCTCTACCTGCCATGGCCCACATATGGCCTCCTGTAGGCCATGGGCACAGTGGCAGCTTCCTCACGCTGGTCCAGGATGCCCAGGCACTGACCCCCACCCCCTCAGTGAATGTCTCCTCCCCGTGTCCCTCTTGGCAGGTGGTGGCAGTGGACCCAGACCTGGGTGAGAACGGCACCCTGGTGTACAGCATCCAGCCACCCAACAAGTTCTACAGCCTCAACAGCACCACGGGCAAGATCCGCACCACGCACGTCATGCTGGACCGGGAGAACCCTGACCCGCTGGAGGCCGAGCTGATGCGCAAGATCATCGTCTCCGTCACAGACTGTACGTGCCCTCGTGCCCCTCAGCAGTGGCCCTTGACACTTGGGGACCCAGAGACATCCTCCAGTGCCCAGGCCTTTGACTTGTCCCCTGGGACTCCCAAAACCTACCCAGGGGCTGTGGGCCACCCACTCCTAGGTGTGGTCCCCAGAGCGCTCTGAGGGGTGTGGGCTGGGGCATGGATTAGAGGGATGTGAAGCCCAAGCTGCTCCTGGAGGGACCACCAGGCTGGAGGGCATGGTGTGGAGGGTTGCTCAGTCTGCCTCCCCATCTCTGTTCTTTCTCTCATATCCCTCCTGCCCACTTCCCGGTTCCCTCAGGCGGCAGACCCCCTCTGAAAGCCACCAGCAGCGCCACAGTGTTTGTGAACCTCCTGGACCTCAATGACAATGACCCCACTTTCCAGAACCTGCCTTTCGTGGCTGAGGTGCTTGAAGGCACCCCTGCGGGGGTCTCTGTCTACCAGGTGAGTACCCCGTTGCTGGCTGTGTCCTGCCTCGGTCTCCCTCAGTTGATCCCTGACAGCCAATAAGAGGCTAGGGGTGCCCCTGTGCGCCTGGCCCCATGTGAGCTCTGTGACTCTCATACCAGCTAGGGAGGGGAGTGAGGGGGGACAGTGGGCTGTGAGAGATGAGATAAACACAGGAAGGCTTCAAGGAGGAGGGACTTGAGGTACATCTTGAAGGACAAGTGGGCTTGGTCAGGTGAAGCACCATAGGAGGATATGGAGAGGAGTAAAGACAAAAACAAGGAACCTAATGGGTGAACCAAATAACTAAGTGCGTAGCTACTAACAAGAGTTCAAGTCTACCCAGAAGTATGCTGGGAGAAAGGCCTGGCAATCACTGAAAGAATCAGTCACTGAAAACCGTACAAAGCACAGGTCTCTGGACACATAGGAGTTGCCATGAGTCAAGTCAACTGAACAGAAGTTGATTTGGGTTTAAGGTAGGAATAGAGGAAGGCAGGGCAGTTACTAGGAGGCAAGTTAGAGAGATTATCAGAACAAACATGCCTGAGGGAATCTGCTCCAAGACCCTCGAAGTCTAGGACACAGAGGTCTGAATGTGGTCCAGGCACTCCCACTGTGAGCAGCCCCTCACTGGGGGTACGATTCTCCCCATTTTACAGGAGGCTACAGAGGGACTTGCCCAGTCTTGAACCCACTTCTTCATTCTTCTGGTCCATCATCCCTGCATTTAGGGAGATTTTGGAGACACTGTTTCAGGGGAGTTGATTCCCTTAAAGGGGCCACCTATAAAGATTAGAAAGCTCCTGTGGTTAAGAGCATGAGCTTTGGGGTTCAGTCGACATGGGTGTGGATCCCAGCCCCGCCTCCTCCCAGGCATATGACTTAGAGTTAACTAATAAACCTATCTAAGCCTCGACTGGCATCTGAAAAATGGGGATGATAATAATAGCACCTGCTGTTTGCAGATTCGATCCAAATCACATAGGAAACGTGGGCTGTGAGGTCACACAGCAGCTGTGTGCGTTGCAGGGAGCTCTGGTGGCTAGTCAGTAGGGAGGTGTGCTGCTAACCCCAAAACCACAGTGGCTCCAGGGAGAAAGATGGGCAGGTACCTCCGTGTATTTATAACCACAGAAACCCATTAGCAGCGATGCAAGTTCCCGTTGTGTGCCTGACTTGAGGGTTTAGAAGAAGAGAAAGGGGGATTGGGTGGCAAGGGATGAACGGCTCCTGTTCAGGGACAGGTTGATTGTTTTCTGGGGTTCCAGTCAGTGGCCTTGGTAATGCACTGTGGCCTCAGTTTCTTCGCCGCTCCCTCACATTGCTGCCGAGTCGTAACTGACTCACAGCTGGCCCTCCTACAAGTTCTCAGATGCTGTAAATTGGGTGAAAGGAGACTGCCCATCTTCCTCCCCTGAAGCCAGTGGTGGATGCAAACCACCAGAGAGGCCCCGCTTTTGGGTTAGCAGCACCTGTCCTTGTGGACTTCGCCACACCAGAGCTATCTCCAACTATACAAGGGGTTTGTTCAGACGTGTTCATTCTTTGACGCCAATTGTCTTCAGTCTCTCCAGAGAGCACTCTCCTCAGGCACCCAGCAGGGGGCGCTGTGATCCTGGGAACAGCAGTCAAGTTCTGAGTCATTCCCCAAGCAGGACTGGGATGAGGATGATGTGACTACAAAGGTCCCCAAACCTGGTTCTCAGGGTGACAGACAGCAGAGGAAGGAAAGTCCACACCACAGCTCCTGTCACAGAGGGGCCGCCTCCAGATGCTGAGAGGATGGTTGAAGGAGTCCAGCATCCTCAGAGGCTCCTGGCTTGACTTTGTTGCTCCCTTGGTCCCACCCAGGGCCCCAGATGGTGATTTCTGCTGGGCGTGCAGGAGGACTTTCTCTAGGGTTGTATGCAAGTAGAGGTAGTGAGGGCCCTGTCCTGGAAGTCATTCAAGCTGAGTCTGGACACCCTCCTGACCATCTTGTTGGATGTGAATCAGACCTGATAGCCTTAATGTCTTCCAGTCCTGAGAGTCTTGTCTTCACCCAACACACGTGCTTTAACTGTTTTTGCATTTTCCCCTCAAACATCTTGAACCCTCTTCTGTGAACTGTCAGCATATTAAGGTCCCAAGTCACAGTATTTCTGATAATGGACTGGAGATGTGAGAATGGTGGGGTTTGACATAAGACTAACCTGTACATGGTCTCAGATAGTTGTGGGGTGTTTTTTTTTTTATAGTAATGAAGCCATCAAGTGATGCTTTAGAAGAACCCATGAAATCATCTTATTTTTTGCTGTCATTTTATAAAGCAGAGCACAGTGGGGAGGAGGGACCTGCTAACAGTGTTCTGTGGGGTCGAGGGAACTCTGGTGGCATTAACTATAGAGAGTTGCACTGCTACCACAGAGACCACGTCTCCCTGACAGTTCAAACCTGCCAAATGTTCCACAGGAGAAAGATAGTCAGTCTCCTCCCAGGTGTGAGTCAGCTCTGACTCAATGGCAATGAGGATTTTCTTTTTTACTAAAAATTGACCTCCAATAGCCAGAGGGGCCTGGAAGCTGCAATGACTATTCTGAGGCAGTGTGGCAAGGGTGGAGGTGGGGAGAGATCACAGCAGCCCTGAGAGTTTGGGGGGAACAGAGCCAGGCAGGTGGAGTAAACCCAGGAGGGCTGCCTGGTAGTGAGCCCAGGTTCTTGAAGGGGAGAGGTATGTGCAGACCACTCTTATTCTAAAAAGTCCTTCCATTTGTCACACACCTCCAGCCTCCAGTGTATCTGTCGGATGGATGCCCTTCAGGCTGGCATGCCACACGTGCAGAGGGAGTGTGTACCGGGGACAGTGACCTGAGATTCCACAGGGAGAGGATGTGTCTGTCTAAAACCAGTCAAAGGAGGGGAAAAGGGGACACTTCTTAGGGGGAAGCAGTAGTCCCACGGCCCCCTCACTCAGCCCCTCTCCTCCTCAGGTGGTGGCCATCGACCTGGACGAGGGCCTCAATGGCCTGGTGTCCTACCGCATGCAGGTGGGCATGCCCCGCATGGACTTCCTCATCAACAGCACCACGGGCGTGGTGGTCACCACCACTGAGCTGGACCGAGAGCGCATCGCCAAGTACCAGCTGCGGGTGGTGGCCAGCGACGCGGGCACGCCCACCAAGAGCTCCACGAGCACTCTTACCATCCATGGTGAGGGGTCATCTTCTGGGTGTGGAACATGAGTGTGGGTACCCGTGCCCACACCTGCCACCCACCATCCATGGGCATAGGCTCCCTAAGTATCAGGTGATCCTCCTCAGTGCCTGTAGCCTCTCAATGGAGCAGAGGCTTCCCTGGCAGTACCAGGTCTAATGTGTCAGCAGGGCCTTCTCCATTCTGGGCACAACCCTCAGTGCCCAGGGCCCAAGGGAGCTTCCAGGACCCCCCCAACAGGTCTCACTTCTCCTACTGGCCCTCTTGGGAGCCTAAGTTCCCATCTAATGTCAGCAGAGAGGAATTGGTGTAAGCCCTTGTATTGTGAGCCAGCAGGCAGGATTGGGGAGCCCACTGTCTGCACTGAAAGCCCAGGGGTTTTACATTGAAGCTGTGATGGAGGCCCCATTCCCATGTGGAATGATGGGGAGGCAATGGTGGGTCTCACCTTGGGAAGAGGGTGGTCAGGACTCAGACACACTGAGATTGCTCATCCCCTGAGGCCTCCCCTCTCTGGTCTGGGGTGAGTGGAGGGGCAGCATTTCTTGTTGCCTAGTTGTGTCACTGCCTTGAGGCCACACTGGAGCCCTGACAAGAGCAAGGAGCATGCCCAGAGAAGTCACGACGACGCCAGCAGGGCAAGTGGGGCCAGCTCTCAGGGACAGGCCTGCCCCACACAGGCCCTCACCCTTCCATGAGACAGGCTGGGTGTGTGACCACACACAGGCCCAACATTCACCTTCCTCAGAGCAGGAGGGTCAGGAGGGGTAGGCCTGGAGGAGCCACAGGCTCTCCTATTGGTTCAGAGTCACCTTCTCACCAATGATTGACAGGAAGGGAGGACGTCCACTCTGGCCATTCCTCTAAGGCCTCACCACAAGCCTTGTCATAAGATGATCCCATCTCATTTCCTGGCTATACTATATGGAGTGACCCGCTCAAAACCTCAACTCATTACTCAACTCACTGAGTTGCAGTTGACTCCCAGGTGACCTTTCACCAAGTTTCTGGTGCCGTAACTCATAAAGGAGGAGATTGCCCATCTCTCTCCCTCGGAGCCACTGGTGGATTCGAACCACCAGAGAGACATGACCTTTGAATTAGCAGGACAGCTCTCTATGGCCTAGGCCACCGGAGGTCCCACAGAGTAGCCAAAAAGGGTGTCATTACATTATAGAAGGTCCTGGGATCTCTACGTGCCCCAGGAATAAGGGCCTGAGATGCAGAGCTGGGTAAATAAATCGTTGAAAGAAATTGGGCTTTTGAACGGATAGTCTTCAAAGCCGGCTCCTTCCCTTGGGATTCCGTCACTGGGGCAGACCTCCCGAAGACCCCATCCCCTTGTGCTGTGAGACTTTGCACAAGTACATGTTTCCTTCTCTGTCCGATGTGTCTGATAGTGCCCACCTCCCAGGCAGTTGTATGGGCTGCATTTGGCTTTGTATGCGGAGTGCTCCTGGCATAATGCCCGTTGCCATCATCCTGGTCCCTGTCAGGTGTTACTGGAGTGAGGCCCTGGGGTTTGTCTTCCACACCAGCGTGAGCAGCATGACACCATCAGGAGGATGGGAGGGGAGGGCCGAGGAGCTCTGGCCAGCTCTGGCCTGGCCCAGCAGGTACAAGAGACTCCGCTCAGGACCAAGAGGCATTGGCATAATGGCTCCCCTGGGAGTTACCTTCCTGCTTTATCTGTAGGGAGCTCTGGTGACATAGTCTGCAGGGAGTTGCTCTGGGAGTTTGAATCCACCATCAGCGGCTGCACAGGAGAAAGATGAACACTCTCTTCCCATGAGATTCACAACCTCCTGAAAACCCGCTGTATGGTCAGCTATGAGCTGGTTCTGTCTCCATAGTAATGGGTTTGTGTGACTTGATTTTGTCTTGAGTCACTATCTTGGGCTCACTGTCATGTGTCCCCCTGCCCCCACAGTGCTGGACGTGAACGATGAGACGCCCACCTTCTTCCCCGCCGTGTACAACGTCTCCGTGTCCGAGGACGTGCCCCGGGACTTCCGCGTGGTCTGGCTGAACTGCACCGACAATGACGTGGGCCTCAATGCCGAGCTCAGCTACTTCGTCACAGGTGCCGGCCTCGCTCAGCTCGCCCCCGCCCAGGCTCCTCCTGTGGCCGCGGCCCTCACCTCCTTCCAGGCTGGAGTGCAGCCATGTGAGACTAGGAAAAGCCCGGCTCCACCATCAGGCTTCAGCCCCTGCAGGCGCCTCCCTCAGGGCTTCCTCTTGGATTGTGCTGAGAGCTTTGCATCTGGGGTTCAGGCCTGGCTCCGTGGACACCCTGGGGACCTGAATCTTCTCGGGGTGGAGAGGACTTTCCCAAAGTTCCTTCCAGAGGGAAGGGGACCCAGCGACTCCTGGGGAGAAGTGAGGCATAGCTGAGCCCTACAGCTCACCTTGTTCCTCAGAGGCACAGAACAGTGACTAGAGGAATGTGACCCTGTCCTTCCCTGGGGACCCTTTACTCAGTGAGGAGAATCCCCATGTGTTTAGAAGCAGATGGTTTAGATCTCCCTAAACAATTCTAGAAAGAAGCTGTTTTGCATAAAAATGTTGGGGAACTGCCACTTGGATGGTGATTATGAACTGGCCAGGCAGAGCAGAGAGGGACACGTGATGAGTGATGTCTGCCGTGGCTGACAGACATGCTTTGTGTGTATCATTATTGGATTAGATCAATCATCCTCTGTTCTCCATTCAGCCCTGTCTAACCTGAGAGGTGTCCAGGCTCACTGGGGCGGGAGTGGGGGGATGCTCTTTCACATTACCCGGCCTTCCCTTTGACAGTTTGTCCGCTGTGTGTTCTCTGTAGCCACTTCTGCCATGCTGCATCTGTACGTGGCCATGCCCTGAGCTCCCCTCTCCAGAAACAAAGAATCCCAGGCCCAGCCTGCCCACTGCATGTCATCGCCAAGCTGACCTCCCAGCTCTCAGCCTCTCTGTTCCAGAACCTTCTACTCCCTCATCTCCAAGAAAGGGCACAGCATGATCTGTCTTACCCTCAAGACTTATCTACAAGCGTGTTTTGGGGCTTTTTATTTTCTTTTTTTGTAAATTACGGTTTGGATGAAAGTTCACAGAGTACTTATTTTCCCATTCAATAGTTTATACACATATTGTTTCCTGACATTATTTATAATCCCCTCAATTGATAGCACTCTTCCTCCTTCCTCCCCAAGTACCTTGTTTCCATCCATCCTTATTCCCTCTCCCTTCCTGTGCTTTGTTACAGCATAAATGCTGCTCTTGTAGGCTGTGTGGCTGATTGCTCTGAGGATTATTCTGCTCTGAGTTCACTTTAGGGATCTGTTGTTTGGCTCCCTGGGGGTAGATTGCTTCCTCCATCCACTCACCTTTGGAACAAGATTATTGATTTGAATATAGAGAAATAGACTTTGGAGATTAGGTGTGGCCAGAGACAAACCAATTCAGGACAAGGCAGTGCCTGACTGTGACTTCCTGGCTCAGAGTTCTGGGTTCCTGCTAACAACCCTCCCAGCTCCAGAATTCTCAGAGTTTAGATGTGTGAATCCTTCAAGGAGCCTTGAGCAGTCCTGGGCCAAGCTCACCTCAAACCTAGTCCAGTGGCGCCCTCTGCTGCCCAGGATAACACACACGGCTCAGAATCAGTGTACCGTTAGTCTCAGGGAGGAAACTCCCCTGGATCTCACCTGCCCTATAACCCAGGAAGACTCCGATAACGCCTGTCTCCTGACCACTTGATCCTACCTTTGAGTCAGTGGCCACTGCCAGTCCCCTTTCAGAGAGCAGTGGTCCTCAGCCCCTCTCCAGTTCCCAGCACCAGAGATGACCAGCTTTCAGAATGTTCAGCTGACCCCAAAGTCCATAGCCACATATGAACGCCCAGGCTAACTGCTCAGACACTTCTATCTGACAGGCATGTGGCAGAGTGGACGCAGGCGTGGAGTTCTGCTGTGCTGTGGTCTTACACCCACTTTACCAGGTGCTGTGAAGTCAGCTGTGACTCATAGTGACCGAGGAACTGTGGTCAGAGTAGAATGCAAGGCTTTTCTTTCAGGCCACCTTTGAGTGGACTCAAACTTTCAGATTTTCAGTTAGCAGCCAAGCATCGTAATCATGTGCACCAGCTCGGGCAATCATTCACATGCACGACCTCACCAAGGCTTGTTGTCTGTGTCTGTGGATGGTGGTGGCAGGAGTACAAACCTCGTAGGTCATTGTGGAGATTGATGAACACATGAAATAGGTGTATATTCACAAAATAATATTAATAAGGAAGTTCTGGGGTGGTGTGCTGCCAGCCCAAAGGCCACGCCTCTCTGGCAGTTCAAATCCACCTGAAGCTCTGTGGGAGAAAGATGGGTGATTTCCTCCCATGCCATTTACAGCCTCGGAACCTGCTGTGTGTCAGCTGTGGTTCAGACTCCACGGCACTTAGTTCTGAGAATTGGTATTTGAGGCAATAAGCAGTCAGATCTCAGACTCTTTGGGCCAACTCCTTGGCCAGAGCACCCTGCGGACATCTGTGCTGAGGGACAGGGCCGAGCGGGCAGCACTCATTGCCCTCCTGGACCACCCCAGGAATGTCCAGTTTGAGAGCAGCGAGACAGTATCACTTGCCTCTCCTTGACCAGGAGCTGTTTCCAGACCTGAAACCTCATTGTCTTTGTCTGTAGGTGGGAACGTGGACGGAAAGTTCAGTGTTGGCTACCGTGACGCTGTGGTGAGGACGGTGGTGAGCCTGGACCGAGAGACTACGCCCGCGTACACGCTCATCCTGGAGGCCATCGGTATGCCGCCCCTGCCCCCCCCCCACTACCACCACTGCTGTGTGAGGCCGAGTTCCCATGCCTTGAGCCAAAGCTCTGCCCCAGTGCTCTACAGACCTCACTGACCATTTAGTGTGAGTCTCAGTATGTGCATGTGAAATGTTAAGAGGATGAAGCAGGAGCTACCGAGGCAACAGAAGGCCAGCACTTAGTCAGTCTGCAAGAGAAAATGAAAGGGAGATGGGACATGACATGAGAGTACACACTTCCAGGTGGAGGAAGGATAGAGGAGGGGTCATCAAGAAAGACTTCCTGGAGGAGGTGACATCTGGGAGTGCCTTCTGGATCAGTTAGGACTTATTGGTTCTAAATATTAAAAGCAATAATGAGTAAATTGGCTTTAACAATATTGGCTTTCATACCTTTCTATGTATGACAAAATTAGATACCATAGGGTCCGGGCTCGGGTGGAGCCAGCAGAGCTCAATCTCCCATGGCAGCATGGCCCCCTGCATGTGGGTCTCATTCTCTGCTTTGTTGTTGTTATGTGCCATTGAGTTGCTGCGACTCATAGCAACCCTATGTACAAGAGCCCTAAACGCCGTCCTATCCTGTACCAACCTAGCCAACCCCAGCTTCACATCCTTAAGTTCAAGTTTAACAACAGGGCAACCAGCCCCTGTCCTCCCAGCTTCCCCAGCTCAAGCCCTCTGATTAGTCCTAGTGCCCATCCCTGAACCCCTCACCAAGCTTGGTCAGGGGTGAGATCTACAGGTTAATTGGTCTTATGTTCCCTGCCCATTGCTGTATATGGAGGACAGCAAGATCCACCTCACACAGAATGCAAGGCCCGAGCAATAGGAAGGGAGGAGGCTCACTGAGTAGGACGGCTGAGGGCAACAGAAACAAGGGATGTTCACCCCGGCCTGCAGAACCTGTGAGGGGGCATGTCAGACTCAGGAGGCAGCCGCAGAAGGTCCTGGAAGAGCAGGGTGTGCGTGGGGAGTAACTGTCTCCTGGCATGGACAGCGAGAGGGAGAAGGCTGGAGCAGGTGGATATCCGAGTGCTGGCCTGGAAATGGTCCTTCAGGAGCCCTGGAGTGCTCTGGAGGGAGGAGGGGTGACGAGGCCTGTGTCAAGCCATCATTACCAATGTTAACGATTGCAACAAGCACAGGGCCCCCAGGCAAGGAGGGCGTCAGAGAGCTCTCTGTGCCTCACTCGGCCAGCTCATGCCCTCAAGGCATCTGATCCTCACCCTGCTGTCCTCTGTCCTGGCCCACCCTCACCCACCCAGTCCTGTCAACCTCAGTTCCCAAGTCCAACCTGAGCATCAGACTTTGGCTGAGAGAAGAGCTTAGTCTCAGCCTTGAACAAGGCCTCCCAGCTCAAGCAGCCCCAAGCTTGAGTAGGCTGGAAGGACCCTCTAGGCTGTGGGAGTGGTCTTGAGGGGGGCTTAGAAGGGCGAGCACCAGGTTGCACCCAGAATGTGGCCAGCTGGACTTGGAAAGAGGTGGAGTCACCCCGAGCCAACTACAGCTGCCCTTGCTCTTCATGAGCTGTGCTGCCTTGCCCAGGAGTTCGGCACAGGGCACAGCCTTCCCCAGGGGAAGCCGGGGTTCCTGTCTGCACCTCCTCAGGGACCGTCCTGAGGGCGGCCTGCTGGAAGCTGGAGTCCCAGAACCGGGCTATGAGGCTTGGAAATCAAAAGGGGCCAATGACCCTGAACTCAGGGGCCTGCAACCAACTTGTTCTGGCCTCACCGGTGCTTTTAAAATCATTTTTGAGACTATAGCCTAGTAAGTAAGGAACCAACTGGCAACCCGAAGAGAACCATTCAAATCCACAAGCCACTCCACGAGAAAAAGATGGGAAATCTCCCATGTAATTTACAGCCTCTGAAAACATGCTGAAGGGTCAGCTGTGAGGCAGTTCTGGCGACATTGAAAACCCAGGAGATTTTAAGTTCAGTGATTCCCTTTCTCCTGAGATGTCAGAGATCTGGTGTTTGTGGACCCACGTTCCACTGTGGGTGTGGACCGGGGCGGAGGACAGCTGCCCCTGACACTAGCTTTCTGGGCCTCTACCCATGACCCGCGGCTCTGACAGCAGCTGTGTTTATGACGTTAGTGTCTGTGTTCATTTCCTAGGGCTGTGGCGACAGATTACCTAAACTGGGCGGCTTCAGATGACAGAACTGACTCTCTCATAGTTCAAAAGTTCAAGATCAAGGTGTTGGTGGGCCATGCTCCCTCTGAAGGCTGTAGAGGAGACTCGAGCTGTCTCTGCCTTTGCCAACTTCTGGTGGCTCCAGGGGCCATACGTGTGGCATTGTTCCGCCTTTACACAGCCCCCTGCCCCATGTCGGCTGTCTCCCTGCCTATCTCTCATACCTGGTCATTGCCTTCAGGGTGCATGCAGATAGTCCAGCATGATCTTGTCACAAGACCTTAGTCACATCTGCAAAGACTCCTTTCCTAAATAAGTTCACCTGCCTAGGTTCCAAGGGATTTGACATGGACTTAACTTTTGAGGGACCTTCATATACCTACAATATAGCGCCTCAGTTTTCTTCCTTTATTGAAGGGGCAGCATATGAGCACCTGTATCACAGGGTCACTGTGAGGCCCAAGTGAGCCTCATTTAGGGCCTTATTTAAGCCATCAAACCCAGCTCATTGCCTTCGAGTCAGAGGTGACTCACAGCTGACCCTGCAGATTTCCAAGGCTGTAAATTACGTGGAAGAAGCTTGTTCCTCTTTCTCTGGGGAGCCACTGGTGAGCTCAGACCACCAAAAAGGAGCTGCCTTTGGATTAGCAGCCTAACTTCCTGTGGACTCCACCACCGGAACCCCCCTTATCTAAGTCCTGTTGTCCAATCGTGATCCCTCCTTGAGATTGTTGTGTAGCACTGAGTCAGAACGGACCCATAGCTGACCCTCCAGTCGGTTTTCAGAGGCGGTTAATCACATGGGAGGAGATTGCCCCCTCCTCCCGCGGAGCAGCTGGTGGCCTTGAAACCTGTGCCTTCAGGATTGCAACACAGCTTCTTGCCACAAGACCACCAGAGCTGCCTTCTTTGAGATTAGGGATGGCAATAATAACATACAGTTCTTAGATGAGTTCTGGTGTCTTCGTGGTAAAGCAGTGCACTGCCACCCCAAAGGCATATGGTTCTAATTGCTCATCTCGTCCCAGGAGGAAGATGGGCAGTCTCCTCCTGTGCAACTTGCTGCCTCTGAAAACTCACTGGAGGGCCAGCTATGGGTCAGTTCCAACTCAGCAATGGACAGTAACACCAGTCTCCAAGGGAAAGATGGCTGGGAGGAAACTGCTAACAGCCCCCAGTGGACAGGACCTGGGAGGTCCCCCTTCAGCAGCTGCTGACATTGTCCCTTGGCTTTTCCCACAGACAATGGCCCAGTTGGCAAGCGACGCACAGGCACAGCCACCGTGTTTGTTACCGTTCTCGACGTGAATGACAATCGGCCCATCTTTCTGCAGAGCAGCTATGAGGCCAGCGTCCCTGAGGACATCCCTGAGGGCCACAGCATCGTGCAGGCATGTGGCCGGGTCGGGCAGGACTCACCTCACATGGCAGGAGGGGGAGGAGACAGTCCAGCAAGGACCCAGGCCCAATCCCTCCTGAGGGTGTGGACAGGTTGTGCAGCTCAAGCAGACCTGACTCCCCAAAACCGGAAGGGGAGCAGAAGCACCCTGGCTTCCCTTCCCTCTTTCCCTGCCCCACCCCAAAGGGTGTCCAAAGCAGGGAGGAGTCAGGGATGTCACATTTTCCCGGAAGGGAGTGGAGAAGGAGCCAGGCCCAGCCAGGCCTGAACAGAGCGCCTTTCATGGCTCCTGGCCCGAGCTCCCCTCTTGGGAAGTAAACAAGCCTGAGAAGAAAGGGCTCCTTTGCCCAGAGAGCAGAGCTCCTGGCCAAGGCTCCAGGAGAGAGGAAGGGCCCACAGTCGAGGCTCCAAGGGCCTCCCCCACTGGCCTGGAGGCCCAACTGCTGGGTGGGGAGGGAGGTCAGGAATGAATGACTCCCTTCTCCCGGCTGCGGGGGTTTCCGACTTGAGGCTGGGCCAAGCACAGCAAATCCAGACCTGTATTGGGAGCAGGATTGGGGTGCTGGCTCCTGGACTTGAGAGGAGTGGGAGGCTAGGAGTGCACCCACTAACCCTCAGCAGGGCCCAAACAGAGGCTGGGAGCAGGATGCTGACTCCCAGAGAAGGGACTGTCCAGGAAGTTGGGCGTTAGCAAGAATCCAGTGGCCAGTGGCCAGGAAAGGGGGGAAGGAAGAGGAGGTTTCATTGCTCTGGTCTTGAACTGGGTGTGTCCCAGCTCTCCTGATGGCTAGAGAACACCCCACTCATCAAAACTCATGATGCCCCACCTCTTGCTGGGCCTGATACCTGCCTCCCCAGGCTCGTTATCACATGACCCAGAGCCAGGGCCAACCAAAGGGTATGAGCAGACCTTCAGGTCATTCTCCTCCCATTCCTTCTCCTTCGGACCTCAGGGCAGCCTTTCCCCGAAACTCTAATCTCTATAAAGATAATGCTGGTGCTGAGCAGGGTGGCTGGCCCTAGAGGAGTGTGGGGACCCCCAGCTGACTGAATTCCACCTGAGTGCCAGGGAGCCCTAGGGGAGGTAAACCAGGAAGACGTTAACCAGCAGGCTGGGAGTGGGGAGTGAAGCCTGCTGGGAGCGGACGTGCCTGCTCTCCAAACCCCAAGGACCTGGTTTCTGCTTACACAACCCTGCTTGGAGGAAATCCTAGAGTCTGTCAGCAATAATGGACAACTCAACTCTGTTTCTCAGTGGGAGAACTCAGGGTGCTGGTGGCTTCCCAGGACGCTGTCATAGGTTTCTTACAAAGCTCCATTCACTCTGACATTGATGTATCACAAGGGAGGCTACGTGCGCCTCTTCAGGGGGGTCTGTTTGGACAGAGCCCCCACCCCAGACTCCCTCTGCCATGAGCCTTGGGGGTAGGGACACACCCAGGCATGGTCACACTTCTTCATTTAGCAAACAGAGGCCTTGGACTTTCTGTATAAAGCAGGCAACATGAAGTAAGGGGTCTGTGACCTTCTGGGTTTGTAGACAAGAATGGCCAGTGATAGCCATAGGAGAATGACCCTTGTCCATCCTTGGGCAATGAGAGAGTGTGGGCAGCACCAGGCCACAGGTGACTTTAAGCAAAGATGACTTCATACCAGAAGGCTACGTGACACCTGAGCCACAGCCAGAGGGTATAACAGTTTCATTGGCCTGGAGTTTTGGATCAGGGTGAAGCTGGATAGATTGGAGTCAGATCCCAGAGGGGGCTAAACACCGAGTTACGGAGCTTTGAACATCTCCCATGGAACTAGGGAGTCAATGAGGGCTTTAGAGCCGAGGACTGACAAGTCGGAGCCCACTTGGAGAAGATGTAGCTGGCTGTTCTCTGGATCAGAGCAGAATGGGCACCACTTCTCTGGGACAGAAACCAGGCACTTGCTCTCTGCCCAGTCTCCAAAGCTGAGATCCAACCAGTGTTGAACCCTGGTGGAGGGAGAAGTGTAAGATTTAGGATTCCTGGGTGGGATCTCAATGGGACAATCATAAGAACACATCCTGCTACTGAGGTGTCCCAGGTTCAAGGTCCCAGGTGTTTAAGGGGGAGCCTGAGGGATGCAGTCTAGACCCTCCCACTTGAGAGGACGGTCACTCACTTCCCTGGAAGAGGCCTGGAGCTGCCATGACATGCCCTTCTAGGGCCCAGGTGTCATCTTCTCTGGCTGGGAACCCTTGGCCTCCTGCCACTCCCATGCAGCCCCAGTCCTGGCCCTTGAAAGGAGCAGCCCCTTCCTGTTTGATCTGGTGTGAATATATTGAAAGAGGGTCACCTAAGCCAGCTGTGATGCAACTGGTGGCCATTCAATGAGTACCACTGAGACCCTTCGCTTGCCCCACTCTCTACAGGCACACAGGCCCCTCCAGCTTGACCAGAGCTGGCCTTAACACTGGCCAGAAGCCTCAAGGGCTAAAGGCTTGTCCTGGTCAAGAGACTTTCTGGAAACACCTCTCTGACACAAGCTCATGTGCTCACAAGGAGCTGCTGGACTATTCAGCTGAAATGCTTCTTCTCAGAGTTCATTTATTCCTTCATTCAACCAATACAGTGAGTTCCAGGAAGTTCATTTATTCCTTCATTCAACAAATACAGTGAGTTCCAGGCTCTGGAGATACAGCCATTAACAATAACAGATCCAGAATCCTGGCCTCAGGAAGCTTACGGTTTGGAGAATAGCTTTGAATGAGCAGTTCAAGCAGGGTCAACTATAAGAAAACCACAAGGTCCTTCCAGGGAGTATTGCAGGTGGTCCCGGAAGACTTCCTGGAGGAAATGACACTTAAACTGAGCCTGAAGGATAATATGGAGATTTCCATCTGAAATAAGAAGACAGAGTGGGTGGAAGGAACAGGGTGTTCAAAAGACTTGAGTAGGAAATAATGGGACATGTTGGAGAAACATAGTTGTCAAGAGGTGAGACCAGACATGGGCTAAAAGCAAGGGTCAGGATGCATGGCCTTGTGGACGCTGTTAAAAATTTCATGCTTTAGCCTAAAAGCTGATAGGTGGAGTAGGGCTGGAGGGACCCCGTGACCATATAGAAGCTTGCCTCAGCCTACTTGAGGTCAGACTATTGTTCCCCTGCCACAAAGGGATTTCCTGCTCCAAGCAGAATACCCCATCTGGTGAGACCTATTTAAACTGGCCAGCTAGAGAGGATCCAGACAGCTAGCCATCAGGGAAGTGTGTGGGAGGGGCACTGGCTGGACAGCAAGTGAGGGACCACCAGTCACTTGCCTGGATGCTGCAGAAACTCGGAGCAAAGCTGGCATCATTGGTGCAAACAGGATGTTCAGGAGGGCCCAAAGTGCCTGCCCTGTTCAGAGGACCTTTTCATGGCTGGCTTTGCCTGCCTTCAGCCAGAGCCAGGTCAGGTCCTCTGTGGTCCCTAACCTGAGTGCCTCCAGGTTGCTAGCACAACCATCTTCACTCTGGCTGTGGGGCAGCCATTCTCCTTTTCAGGCAGGACCCATGGTCAGCACCCTCCCTCATGGCCCTTGCTCTCACAGCTGTGTCACTGTAACAGGAAGGGAGCAGGCAGAGGACACAAGGACATCCCCACCATGGTCAGCCCAGAGCTCTGTCTAGGCTGGGCTGTTGGGAACAGCTGACCCCACAAACTCAGGAGCCACAAGGCCTAGAGTGCCAGCTCCTCCCACTTGACACTGGGCAGCTGCAGGCAGAGCCCAGGTGTCCAGCAGGCAGGGCAAGTCGTGCTGTCTGTGGCTTTGGGAACTGAGCACAGGTGACAGGGCAGTACCTTGTCCCTGCCATGGGCTGAGTATTTCACATGGCTGGAGAGAACTTTTGACTGTTTGACAACTTACACGGGAATTGGATCTGGGTGTTAGCCCCCAAAGGGTGGGCAAACAGGGGTGCAGCTTCAAGGGGGTGTCTGGCTGTCAGAAAGGGCCCTGAGGAGCCCCAGGTTGGACCCTGAGCCTCAGATCAAGTTCCTAGGTGACTCCAGGTATTCATCTTGGTCCAGGGGACTTCCAGCAGGGAGCAGCATGATATCTACAGAGAACAAGGTACCACCTCCAGGGATCATCTCTGGTGTCTATGGTATGGCTGGTATGACATGTGCCCTGGGCACCACTTGAAGGGAAGCCACTGATGTGAGAGAGGATTCAGCAAGTGAAAACTAACACTTTCCTATCTGAAAAGTTCTGTATGTCAAGGGGGAGCCCTGGTGTCATAGTTTGTTGAATGTTGGACTGCTAACCAAAAAGGTCAATGGTTCAAAACCCCCAGCTGCTCTTCTGGAGGAAGATGAGGCTATCACCTCTCGTAAAGATTTCCAACTTCTGAAACCCAATGGAGGGCAGATTCAGCCATGGTTAGGTTTGGGGTTGGGTGTGCTCCAGGCAGACTGGAATCTTGCTCAGATGAGGGAAGGAAGAGAAAAAAGGGGGTGGTGAGTAGTAAATAAAAAAGAAAAACTACTTTGAGCACATCATAGACCATTTTCATCCTTGAAAGCCATCAGGGTACTAATGTCATCATCACATAGTGCCATACGTGTTAAAAAAATGTGTTTGACTTATATTTCTGAGCTAAATTTATGCTAACGTAATCTAAAAGATGAGTGTCAGATGCATGGCCACGTGCCCAATTTCTGTGCTTGCTGTGGGGCTGTTTTCCAGAGATTGGTGATGCCTTGGCCCACGTGGCCACGAGGGGCGAGTGGCCCAGGTGTCTGCTTTTCTGTGGCCTGCGGTGCTGGTTCACGCCCAGGGCGGGAGGGTCGGTGGGATGGGGATGGGGTGGGATGGAGTGGGGCGCAGACACCCCTCACATCTTGGTAGATTCCACGAAGTCAGAGTTGGTTTTGCCTCGCAAGCCCGGCAGGGGGCGCCTCGGGCCAGCCGGCCGTCCAGGGCGGAAGCTGTGCAGGGAGTGGCGCAGGGAGCTCAGGCGCTTCCAGAGGCGCAGCTGGGGCTCGCTGGGACTCTCGGGGTGGTGGGGCATGCACTCGACCGACGCTCGCAGCTTCGTGTCCAGCGCAGCAGGCTTGCACAGGGTCATGAATAGCAGACAGGTGGCCAGCAGGAGGAAAATGCAGGCCAAGACGATGAACATGGGGAGCAGGTTGGTCCCCTCCATAGAGGCCTCCAGAGTGGCCGGCGCGCTGGTGAAGCTGGGCCCCAGGGTGCTGGTGAGGTTGGGCCCCTGGGTGCTGGTGAGGTTGGGCCCCTGGGTGCTGGTGAGGCTGGGCCCCTGGGTGCTGGTGAGGCTGGGCCCCTGGGTGCTGGTGAGGCTGGGCCCCTGGGTGCTCATGACTCCTGAAAATGGGAACAGAGAGCTCTCAGACACAGAGCAGCAGGACTTGGCAGGGAGGGGAGGACTGGTGGTATGGGACAGCGAGGCCCAGAGAGGTGACAGATCTAAGGTCCCAGCTCTGATAAGTGATGGAGCTGGGTCCTAACTCAAGTTCTTTCTGCTCCTGCCCACCAGGAAAGTGCTAGAAGTGAAATAAGTTCTCAGGAAATACTGTACAGGCAGCGCCCGCCTGGTGATACCTGAACTCCTTTCATTGTGCATCGTATAGTTAGTGATAGGTGCCGTATACAGTGTGGCAGTATGCTGTTCTTGTTCCACCCACCTCAGAATAATAAAGACCAGGTCTATGTAGATACTGATGCAAAAGGCAATGAGAGATTCGTCAGCATGCCAGTCACAAGAACATCAGTGACTGCATGCAGCATCCTAGACATGAAAACGGGCCTCTGGACCACCTCCATCGACACTGGTCAGGAACAAGGTATCGGGTAGGCTGTTTGCTGTAGCTCGCCGGGAACCTGGCATTTACCTAAAACCAAGACTGCAAATCGGGGAACCTGAGGGTGTATTTGTGATATCCTGAAAGTGTGTGTAGAAATTTAAAGTACTTGTATTTTTTACCTGTTTTTAAGTTTTTCCATTGTTGCACATTTTCTCCCCCTCCCTAGCCTGCCTCACAATGCACCCCTTGTTCCAGCCTGTTGTCATACATATTAAATTAGTTGTATGTTTTAAAGGTAGAAGAAACAATAGCTTTCACATGACCCTGTACATGTCTGAGTTCTGAAATCTCGGCATTTGAGTGAGGGCAACACCAGGCCTGCTTTCCTGCCGTGCGCCCAGCAACTGGAGCAAAGCAGGAGCCGCCCTCCTTAGAGGCCCCTTCACGCCTTATGATGTCTGCTTGGCCCTGTGGGCATCCGTGTTGTTGCTCCCTGACACACTGAAGCCTGATCTGGGACGTAAGGAAATTGAGGTCCAACCAAGAGGGCCAAGATCAGTCAAGCAAAGACTAGTCCAGGTTTCCTGGCTTCTGGCCCAGGGTTTCTCCATCCTTCTGAACCCCAAATCTCTTCTTGAAGTCACTAAGCTGTTTTTGGCACATGTGATAAATAGTCCCCAATTGCCAAAGGAGTTGACTAGGGGAGGCTCTGAACATTCCTCTGCACCCCTGACCCCAGTTACCAGTCTCCCAACCTGGTGGGGCATTTCTGATCACCTTCGGTCATCCTGCTGGGGGGAACATGGTCAGTGGCCCTAACACATGCAGAATCAGCCTCCTTTCTTGATTGACTGGGTCTGGGGTTGTAGATAAAAATGCTGGCAGAGCCTGGCCAATAGGTAGCATGGAACTGAAGAGGACAGGTGGGCAGGGAGCAACTGGAGAGAACCTAGAAGGAAGGTGGAGGGGCCCAACCAGATAGCTCCTCCAGTTTCTCAAGAGAAACCAGAAGTCTGGATTTTTATACAGCCACTCCTAACATTTAAATATTGGCAAATAATTCGGGGTTGGGGGGACCCATTGCCATCAATTCCATTTCCCTCTACCAAATTTCCACAGAATGACTGATGGATTCAAACCTCTAACCTTTACATTAGCAGCCCAACATGCATCACACTATGCCACCAGGGATCCTTAGATTAAAAGAGTGGGGAAAGAAAGGAGAAGGAAAAAAACATTGCAAAGTCCAAGCAAACTTGATCCTTAAAAAATGGAAATGTGTCTTAAGCTCTTTAACACTGCACCCAGGCCAAAAAAACCACGTCAGCAGGTTAAAACCCAGCTTGTGGACCAGTATTTGTGGTCTTTGATTTCTGTAAACAGAGGGTAGGAAAGCAAAAAAGATGGTAATAAAAAAATAATCCTTTCTTTTTGACATGGGATATGTCGGTGCAGTGGGGAAAAGTAACGTTCCCTCCTCCACAACTTAATCAAAGTCACATTTCCAGCACCAGTGCTTAGCAACAGGAGGGATTCCAAGTTTTTTTAGTCTCTGGATATAGGGTATAGAGAACCAGTGATCAGCAGGCAGTGGAAGAGGCTGTCCAGCCTCTCCCCGCCCCCAGCACTGACCCTCACCCCAATCACTCACCAGCAGCCACCAGACCTAGTTCCAGGCTCCCTGCACCCAGCCACCTCCTGCCTGCAGCTTCACCCTGTGCCAGTCAGGTTGAGGGCATCCAGAGCACCCACCCAGCTCCCACCCAGTCCTTACCATCACCCTCCCAACATTTGCAGACAGAAAAAGGGCCCTCCCAGCTCCGGACTGGAAACTGTGATGCCTGTCTCCCTGGACAGGCCTCTGCCTTTTGGGCATCATGCCTAGAGCACACTTTTGGCCAGCCAGCTGGGCACGGGCCGGCTCTACCTAGAATCTGAGCAGAGAGAGAGTGAGGTGTCGCCACGTCCATCCTCACAGGGAGCTCCATACGGTTCTCATCCACTTGCTTTTCAGAAGTAGATCACACTGCCCTACCTCGGGGAGTATTTGGCTGGGAGTAAGAAAAAGGCAGATCAAGCTAAAAAGGAGTCTCTATCTTGCTATGAGTAGTTAATGTTAGACCTTCAGATAGATCTGGAGAACAGCAATGCTAAGAGTAAGAAAAAGGCAAAGTGAACTAGGAAGTCTGTCTTACTATGTCTGTTGTTAGATGTCCAGATGGGCCTGGAGACACCTGTTGGGCTTGAGGCTTGCAGACCTGCAGACCTGCTTTAATGAAAAGCATCTGGAAGCATTGCTGGTTTGGCTTACTGGTTCTCTCCCTCTCTCCCTCTTCCTCTCCCTCTCTCACTTCCTATCCATTTCCCTCTCCCTCTCTTATGAGAGAAAGTGAGCTTAAGTCATAGGCACAAGGTACCTCACACCTGCCAATGGAGACTTCCATTGTTACTAGGGTGCTGAACAGAACAGCTTTCAGACTCAGGTGGTCTAGGAAGTAAGGAAGCCTTGGTGGTCTACTTCTGAAAACTCGGAAGATGAGAACCACCCTCCGCCAGTCATGGGGGCGGCACGAGACGGGCAGTGTGTCTGCATTGCTGTGGGGTTGCCATGAGCCCAGGCTGACTCCAAAGCAGCCAACAACAACAGCAGTTAGCCTCTGAGTAGATTCTCTGGAAGCAAGAGGTTCTCAAGTGCTGGAAAACAGGCCCCCCTCTTCTCTCATGCATATACACAAGTGGGTGCCAGACCTCTCCTGATACACCCTGCTGGCCAGCCAGCAAGCAGACTACCACACCAAGGCCTGAGGAAGTCCTCTCCTGTCCTGTCACAGCCTGGAGCACACTGAACAGACCTTGCTCTGGACACTCTCTCTGCAAACTCAATCTATAACCTTCTTTCCTCCTGCAGAGCTCTGGAGAGCAGGACTTATTGTGTGACCTGAGGCAAGTCACTGTCCCTGACTAGGTTTTGTTTCCACATTCTACACAACCCAGGGTATCCCCAGGTCTGAGCACACCCTCACACCCTCCCCAGAGCACCCCAGAAATGATCCAGCCCTCACTCTTCTCACCAGGCCTTCACAGGCAGTCTTCCTGGCCCTGGCCTCAGGTTCAGCCCTCAGCAGTCCCGAGCAAGTGGAGAGACTTCACAGATGTCCGAGGGAGGCCTCTGAGTGTCTGGCCTTGAGTGACCCCCGTGGACCCTGCAGTGCCCGAGCCCCTGTCAGCAGGCCTTCCCTCTCACTATACAGTGGACCTGGCTTTGTCGGAACAGTTTTGAGTTCCTGCCTTGGGGGAAGGAACAGCCTAGAGGGTAGAGATGGCAACTGGGCTGGGAAGTGGGAGAGGGCGTAGCCCTGAAGAGCCGGACACTCGGCCTTGCTCCAGCCTGTCTCCTCGGAGCCCTATGGAGGGCAAGAGGCTCTGGGGGGACCCAGGAGGAGGGTTTCTCTGCTTCCCTTGGCCCCAAGACTCTCTCACCTTCCCCCTTGACAGTTTGAATGGTATGGTCTGCTCAGCTAGCTGGTGGCTATTCAGTGTCTGCCAGCTCCAGGTTACCGGGGAAAGAGGGTCTCTATCTGCACAGTGCAAGGGTGGGGGTGGGAGAGCAAACCAGCTGCGGAGGCCCCTCCTGCAGCCCCTCCCGCAGCATCCCAGGGCTGCTCTCCTGGTCTTCTCTCAGTTTTCTAGAAAAATACCTTTTCTGTGAAGGTGTCTAGCTGCAGAAGTCCCAGCCAAAAGACATTTCAACAGGCAGAAAGATCACAGGATTGTGGGACAGCCAAACTGTGCTCCAGTCCAGGCGGACTGCCCAAGACCCTCCAGGCAACAGTACACACACACACACACACACACACACACACACACACACACTTCCCTCCCCCACCCTCCTTTCTTCCCAGAAGCCTAACCAGCCACCTTCTTAAGGAGCCCAGCCTGGGAGAAGCTTCCAAATCATGAACCCGCGTGCTCCCAGGGATACAACCCATGGAACCTGGTGGCTGTCCTAGACCTGAGAGCTTAGAACCCAGCCTATTTTTAGAGCCCCACTTTTGAGTATTTAGCTCTGGTGGCTTAGTGGTAAGGACTTGCACTGCCCACCTAAAGGCAAGCGATTTGAATCCACCAGCTGCTCTGAGGGGGAAAGATGGAAAATCTCTTCCCGTGCAATTTATGGCTTCAGCAAACCCACTGGAGGGTCAACCACGAGTTGGTTCCACCTTGATGATACATAGCAACAACCTTCCTGCCTTTGGCCTTCTGCCAGAAAAGTCTCAGCCTCTGCACAACCCCAGAATGAACAGAGCCCCCACCCCCTCCCCGCCCAGGGACTGTCAGAGCTGGAGAGACCCTTTTAAAGGAAAAGAATGCCTCAGAGTTGATTCTAAAGCACGACAACCCCACGTGTTTCAGGTTAGATCTCTGCCCATAGAGTTTTCAATGACTGACTTTTCTGGAGCGAATCACCAGGCCTTGCATCTGAGGCACCTCTGGGTGGATTCAAACCATCAGCCTTTTGGTTAGTAGCTGAATGATTAGCCACCTGCTCTTCTAT